TGAGCCATAACTGGGCTAAGTCCCATGACGACAGCATTAAGAGTGTGAGCGAGAAGCAAGGGAGGCTTGCTCACCAACATGGATGGGCAGAGTGAAGACCCTCCAGGGAGAAAAAGAGGGACTAACAAGGCTGTACCTCCCCAGGTATCACCAGCACCTAAGTGGCGGGATACCCTTGAAAAAGCTGGAGGAAGCAAGATGTGGGGCCGAGGGGTGTCACTGGGATTAACTAGCCACCGGACTATCATGTTTGCTTGTGCTGAGCATGTCTGCCTAGGTTGTTTTTCATGATAGTTTGGAAATTGTTATCCCTTTGTCTTCACTGGGTTTGCTTATCTAATGCAGAGGAAGGGGGAGTTGAGAACAGCTAAGATGTTTTGCAAATTTGTTTTAGTCCTGCTGCTTCTTGCTCCCTAGAGGGAGTTGCAGAAACCTCACCATTAGAGAGGCATTTGAAATTTGTCTGACAGTAAATTGGCCTTAAAGCGATTGGTTTTGAAAGCCCCGAGCCTTAGGCAAGGAGGGTCAGGGCCATTTCAGACTGCAGTGTGCTGTTGGGGTCTGGCTGTGTGCACAGACAGGTTCCAGGTTGCTACGGGCAATTCTGTTGTCCCCCTGGCAGGTGACCTTATTTTTTAAGTCTGGTATTTGGGAGGCAGCTTGTTTTCCCAGGTGGGATTCAGAAGATGCAGGTTTTGCTTGGGGCCTTTGGGGTCTGAGCCCCTTGGGTTGAGCCCGAAGTGAGCAGTCCCTCGCTGGCTGCTACCAGCACTGGGAGAGTGACTGAGGGTCTCTGCCTCTTTGAGCCTGGAGGGCGTGGTGGAAGCACTTCCGCAGAAACTGCTTTCCCCTCAAAGCCAGAAAAAGGAGGGGGTGGGGTGGGAAATCTTGGACAGCCGTTCTCTCTTCCTGGACGCACATCACTCACAACTTGTTTCCTGAAAATCCTAATCCACTCCAGTGGTGAGAGATGGCTTCCTGCCGATCTGCTGAGCCAGCCCCTTGTCAGGGAGGAGATGAGAGCAAGATGTGGCCAGAGGAGGGGTGAGTGGAGGAGCGGGGCTGCTCAGTAGCCCTGGGGCCTTCTCTCTGAAGGGACAGCAGTACCTTTGGTCCTGAGGGCAGCGCCAGGGTGCCCTCAGGCACGTGACCATAGCTGGGCCTAGCACTGGGCAGTGGGGAGCATTTGAAGGCAGAGTTTGGTCTGTCAGTAAAATTGCACAAATGGTGGTGATGAAACACAACCCTTCCTTTTGCTTCTAGAAGGAAGGACCTTCCTGGCAATCATCTGCATCCCCATTTGGGGAAAGGGTCATTATTTGAAAATAACTGACCCTGAAGTTCTTGCGCATCCGTCCTATTTTTCCTGCCCTGTGCTTTGCTTCCCCCATGGCTCTTCTCTGCATATATTCACACGTAAGAGCCAGTGGCCTTCCTTTTGAGATATCAACGTATGTCCTCAAGGCTGCTGTCATCACCATCAAATTGTGGTTTGGACTCCTGGTTCCTGGCAGTGCTTTAGTTTTATGCTTCCACCTTCTAAGAGAGACAGAGCTGAAAACTGCCTTTAAAGTGTGGTCTGGGCCAACAGACCTGGGTTGGAAACCTGGCTCTGACACTGCTGTGAGAATTTAGACTCTAAGGCCAAGTTCCCAGTGTCCTCAATTGCACAGTGGGAGAGGGGCAGTGCCTACCTTGCAGGTGTGCTGTGAAGGTGAAATGGTAATGCTTAAATACCTGTGAACTATTTTGATGCAGTTTTTCTGGGTTTCTCAAGCTCAGAATGATCCAGGATGTGGTGGAGGCAGGAAGGGGATGGGGGCTTGGGTATGAGGCACCTTCCTCTGAAGTTTGCCTACCTTTAAAGTATATCGAGAAGGACTTGTGGGCTAGGGCGGTGGTTCTGCATCACAATCACTTACAATAGTTACTACAATAGATGGGTGGGCCCCAACCCCAGAGTTTCTCTCTGCTGCAGTATATCTGGGGTGGAGCCCAACATTTAAACTAATTTAAAATGTAAAACTACCTTATTTCCTGGATCTGCTTTCATAGTCAGCATTTGTTTTAAACAAATTCCTGGGTGACACTGATGCTGCTGGTCCCAAGAGAGCAGTTAGGTAGAAGCAGGTCATTGCTTGCAGATTCAGGAGACAGAATGAGGCCAGTGAGTGCTGGTTATAGAGAGGTAGTGTTTGTTCTCTGTGAGAACTGCCTCTACTATTCTGTGTGATCAGAAATGGAGTGGGTGGTCTTAGGGGCTCCTTATCGCGGAGGTGTCTCCTGCCGAACGGTCTCTGGCAGATTCCTGCACAAGGTAGAAGCCTCATTGGTTCTTTCATTTATTCATTCATCCACTTATTCACAGAATAACCAAGTACTGCCTGCCTGGTAGATGCTGGGAGCTGGGGAGAAACCTGGAACAAGGCAGCTGTGGCCCTGCTCTTAGGGAGCCCACAGTCTGGTGATTGGGGCTAAATGATTCTTAAGGTGCCTGGTGACACTGAGGCTGTGACGGGGGCAGGTCCTCAGAATAAGAAACTGCAGAAAGATGCTTACCCTTCTGAGGACACACAGGAATGTGGACACCTCTGAGGTTCAATCTGGATTGCTCTCACTGGAGCATCTTAATGTCATGGGGTAAATGATTTTTCCTCCTAAGACTCAGAAGAGGCTGATGATGTATCTACCAGGAGTGCATGTCCTACAGGAAATTTCACATCTCCCACCAGCACCGGGGTGGACCATTAAACTCTGGACCACCGACCAGCCGTGCATCATGCTGACTATGAAAGCAGAGCCAGGAAATAAGGCTGTAGGGGTGAGCTAATTGCTTTTTCATTTCTCTCAAGTGTTATGCTGGAGACTTAATGGCTGGAGAGAGTTAGAGCAAGTTAGGTGGATTCCGTCAGTTTTTCTGGGTTCTTGCATCACAGTCCCTACTGAGAGCAAAAATGATACTTACTGACCTTTACTGGGCTCCATTCTGTGCCAGGCCTGGGGGTGAGCCCTTTTCATGCATTTTGTCATTTGACTCGTCTGAAAGCCCTATCAAGTAGTATATTGCCCTCTTTTTTGGAGAAGAAGAAAAAAAAGTTCAGAGAGGTGAGGAACTCGCTCATGGCCATAAAGACAGTCAAAGTCAGAGAAGGAATCGAAACTTCAGTCTCTCAGACTCCACATGGTGTGTGTTCTAAGGTCCTAGTATGCTGATGACTCATCCATCCATTCATTCATTCATTCACTCATTCATTCATTCAGTAATTAGTTAAGTCATTCTTTCATTGAATAAATATTAAGCACTGATACATACTGGTGAGCAAAACAGCTTGGCCTTTGTCCTCATGGGGTTTATAGCTAATCTCCTTCAGACAAATGGGTCACTCTTCCCTCAGATCCTTGGCTGGTTAGATCCTAAGGAGGAAGACAAAGGGCTGGGAAACCAAACCTGGCAAGTTAGCCCCTGACCCAAAGATTCCATGTGATTGAGAGTTTCTCTACACAAGTTGGGTTTTGTGCTTTGCTTTATTTTTACGTTCCCCACTGGGTTTCTTTTCTCTTTGTCCAAGACTGTATGTTGAAGGGCTTGACATAGTGTAAGAGAGAATTCTTGTGGCATTTGCCTTCTGACTGTACTCGGGGGTGGGTGGTGGAGGGGGTGGGTGGATTTGAAAGTCAGGGGTCTCAGAACTTGGAGCCAAAGTGACAGTGGAGATCCTCTCCAATGACCCTGTCTTGCTGGGAGATGTCCCCTCTTCCAAAACCAGGGTGTGCCCTGCAGATTCTTTTGGCTTTCTGTGCTGGTCTCAGCCTGTGTTTTCTTCTTTTTTAAAGCCCTTTCAAATTAGATTTCTAGTTTTCAAAATAAATACATGATGATTATTTTTTAAAATCAACCAATTTTCAGAAATAAGTGACTTACATGTTGTGAACGTCAGCAGTCCCCTGAGATAACCACCATTAACAATGGGCGTGTGCTTCTCCTGTTGTATTTAATGTGAACAGTAGTGTCTATTGCTATTAGTTTTTCATTTAAATGGGTTTTTAAAATATACCCTTCCTTGAAATTTTTTTGTTTTAATCAAATTCCATTTTAGACCTTTCCATATTAACATATTTAGATCTACTTAATTCTTATTTTGTTAACTTCAGTTTCTCTTCCATTAGAAATTGTTTTTGCCCCCTCACCTTGACTTTCTGTGGATGCTTTCTGCTTCTCATATGGCTGAGCTGCTTGAAACATCCACTTGGCTTTTTATTTTTCTTTTAACTCTTAGAGAAATTCTAGGAGCCTTGTTTGGTGTCACCATGCCTTTGGTGAGGGACTCTTAGCTTCACAGGGTCAGTGGCAAGAGAGAAACCAATGTCCAATTTCAGAAAAAAGACAGGGAATTTTTTGGAAGTATAATGCACAAACTGCTGGGTCTCAGGAAATAGGACCCACTAGGTCTCAGAAAGGACAAGCAGAGGCCAGGCAGTAGGAACAAAGGAACAGATGAATTACACCTGCTCAGTTCTTGCAGTATTATTCTATTGGCTTAGCTGGGATCACAGGTCACCCCTGGCTAGGGTCAGGTAGGACGCTTGATTGACAATCTCTCTAAAACGTGCAACAGGGAGGAAGTATTCCCTTAAAGGAAGATTTCTGTGCTATACTAAAAGTCGGTAGATTCGGTTTTGGAAAAATCAACCCAATAGGATCCATAGACCCTGGGACGTTTTGAGTATGTGTTTGCATATATGTGTACCCAGGACCCAGAAAAAGTTAAAACCACTGCTGCAGTTCTGTTGGCTACATCTGGTTGTGTGCATGATCCCAATGAAGACAAAGTTAATAAGAAACTTCCTCCTGGTCTTCTTTTTGTTCCTTAGACCCTTATGGCTGCCCAGTTTCTCCTACATGGTGATACACCCAGTTCAGTTAGGATGACTGGTCACTGTTTGCAGGAGGGTGGATTCCATCAGCAAAAGAGACAAATGTCTGTTTTTATTCTTTGCAGGCACCTTTTTGCTCCAACCTACACAGAAACCCATTATACTCTGAGTGGCAGCCCTCAAACCACCACACTGAAATCAGAGGTAAGTTCAGGTCAAGAATTATCTACTAGCTGCTGCCCTCTCCCACATCTGGGAAGTGAGGAGATGTGGGGAGACAGTCCCTTCTCTGAAGGGACTGTTTCCCCTCGTTGGGGACCAAGGGAATGAGCAGGAGAAGTAGGATGTGAATTTGTTGTTTCATAAGCACACCCTCTCCTTTGCTGGCTAAAGTGGTCAAAGAAACAGCATATTTCAGGGTAATTGCATCTGATTAAAGTTGGTATAAATCATCATGAGCATACATATCTCAGCCAGGGTGCAAACGTCTAAAAGAAAATGACTATCAGTCATTACAGCTCAGACTGACTTAGCACAATCCCTTGAATGAGGAAAGGGATGCAGGACAGCTAAGTTTTCATAGATCTAGGAAGTCTAGAGCATAGTAACTCTGTGTATCTCATAGTAACTAGTAGCTGAGGGCTATGTTGGTTTTTGCTGGATGTGAGGATCAACACTGCCTTCTTTACCAAGACCTTCCTGGATGGGGCAGGAGTTGGCCTGCAGCTGGCAAACTGGTTCTATCTTCTCCTCTCTGGGGAGGCTGTCCAGTTGCGGCTCCACACCTTCAGGGCTCTGTGGTGGAACTTCTTCCTGCGCTGAGACTTCTGCCTCTGCCTCTGGGAAGTGGGGAGGGGACAGGTCTGCCTCGAAAGCACCTAGCCGTTACGACCTCATAAAGCATCCCCTTCTGGGTTGGCTCCTGCACTTCTGTACCCACAGCTCCAGAGTGGGTCCCAGTGTACACACTGACATGAGCTCATACTTCCTGTATGAAAGCCCCTTCGGGATGGCCCCTCAGTCCGAGGAGCTGAGAGGAATGCCATGACTTCAAGGCTGTTCATTTACTTGTTCTTTGTGCTCTCAGAATCGGGCAGAGATGTTGTTAAGGGCCTTCCAGAAACAGAGGCATGGAAGACAACTTCCCCTCACTACCAGATGGCCCTCCTTCCTAAAGCTCTTGCTGGCTGAAGCATATCCTAGCTGAAGTAGGGGACAACTCATTGTTTTCCTACATTCTCTGCTACTAGGCTCTTGCAAAGCCCCCACCCAGCCTCATGGGGCTCCTAGTTTGCTTTCTTATTTGGTAGCTGAGGACTCAAAAACAGATGGGAATGGAATGAATCATGTAGTTGTGCTTGACCCAGATGTTGAGGGCCATCCTCTGCCACCAAACCTGGCCTGGGGTAGCGGGAGTTCTGGGAACCTTCTCAGACCCATCGGCTGGATCTGTAGGTTACAGCCCTAATCTGGTCAGGTCACTGGGGAAATGGGTTTGGGAATATGTTCCAGTAGAAAGAGTTACAGAGTTTGGGGTCTGAAGCCAGGATTGTAGCCTTGGCTTTAAGTAGCTATGTGACCTTGAACAACCCTTTGACCACACCAGTGTTGAATTTCTTCATCTGAAAACTGGATATGCTAAGATCTGACTCTCAGGACTATGGATGGGTAACATGAATCACTGATTTTATGGGAATTTATAAGTATCTCTTCCGATGCCACATAGTACAGATGAGGAAATTGAGAGGAGAAGAGAAAAATTAACAGGCTCAAGTTCAAATAACCAGTGAGAGGCAAGGCTTAGACTAGAACTTAAGCCTCTGTTGGTGCTAGATGATAACAGAGCTTTGACGAATTAAGTCCTATGCCCTTTCCTGGGGCTGCTTTTGCTCGGAGAGGCAGAACATGGGGTCTAGACTCAGACTGCTGGGGTTTGAGTCTCCACTTTGCTGTGTGGCCTTGTGAATGACTTAAAACCTTTCCAGCCTTTAGTTTCCCTTTTAAAAAAATGAGAATGATAATATCTACCTCATAAGGCTGTAGCCAGAATTAAAGGAGAAAAATCTATGATGTTTGCTCATAGTGTTAATAACAGTAAATGGCAGGTGTTATTATCACATGTGATGACATGTGTGAAAGCCCTTTGTAAGTATAAGGCATGTTACAGAAATCAGTTGTTAGGCCATTTCAAAAAGCACCAAGGCAGTGAATACTGTTAGCATCAGTCCAGAGATGGGAAGATGGAAAGCGTTTCTTTACATCCCTCCATCCCTACATTTGAATTCTCTTTGTTTGTAGAGGTTACCAGATTTTGAAACTATAGCTAACCCACATTTCTGAACTTTTTGGCTTCCCATCATTTCATCTGTGAGCCCTGTTTGTCCTGTACAGGGCCAGCCCCCTCTTCCACCTGTGTATGATCCTGGGCTGTGGAGTTCAAAGCCCCGTTGTTGAATTCTAAGGATCAGGTTTAGAACTTGAGAGCTAGATGATGCGGCGCCAGGTCCCAGAGTCCGAGGGCAGGTGGAGGAGCTGCCGAGGTGTGACAGGCTGCCTTTTGAAAGCAGATGGAATCCTGACTGGATGGAGGGTTGCCTGCCTCACCTTCTCTTCCTGGTGCAGGGGGATGTCCACTGGCACGGTGGCTTTCCTTTGTGCTCCTTTAAAGGTCAGGGTCTGACTAGTTTAAAGTCCAGGAGAGTTTGATGCCAAGGAGGCTGGTGCCTGTCCCTCCTCCCGAATACCTGAGCTTGAATGGGCAGAGGTGTCACTCTGCCGGCCGAGCATTATTAGCTGGCGAAAGGGCACCAGTGGTCTGGAGACTGACACAGAGGTGAGTGCCAACCTAGTCTGTTTCCTGGGATCTGGTTGCATGGCTCAGCTGGGTAGCACCTAGAACTGGTGCAGCTAAGGCTGAGGGGGTAGCCCCTTGGGAGGGCTTCTAGCTCCCTCAAGGTCATGTTCTGCCTTTGAGAGAGGAGAAATTAATGCCGATGATATGATCACTCATGCTTCTGGCCAGCTGCTCTTGGCCAGGTAACCTGCATTAGCTCTGACATGTGGCATTCTGACAACCACCTCGTGAGGTGGAGACTAAAGACGCTAGAGGTCGGAGGGAGGTTGTGGAACTGTTTACGTAGCTGGAAGGAGTGGGAATTTGAATTTAAATCTGGCCTGGATATGCCAGAATTTAGTTATTAGGCTGTATTCCAGCCTAGATTCGGGTGGGAAGTGGAACTAGATGATACAGACAATTGGGCTAGCCGCTTCCTGGGTCACATCCCTGCCAGTTGCGGACTAAGGAACAACTATGACAGGCGTGGTCCCGCCGATGGGTCACTGGGACTGTAATGGAGGTGAATGCTGGAGATTTCTGACTGGCCCTGCTCAGGCTCAGGGTGTTGGTGGGGGAAAAAAAACTATGTAGTCTGCAGCTACATAGTTTATATCCTTCTAAAGACCTTTTCAGAACCTGGTTCTGCCCTGGGGATTGTACCTTCTCCCTCTTCTGACTTGTTTGGGAATAAGCTTGTAGAAATGAGTCCCTTGTCATCACCCTGACGTGTGCGGGGACAGTCCTGGTTTGTGCCCGCCTGGCTGGGTTGGCACTCTCGTGTGCTCAACGGGGTCCTGGTTTGCCGCACAAATGCTCTGGTTACCCTACTGACACAACACTCTGCTGGCACCTGCAACTTGCATTTCAAGCCACTGTTCACAGTTTGTAATTAAATCTTTTACAGCTTTTTAATTAAGATTGGCTCTCATAAGACAGCGAGTCCCACAAAGGCTAGAGCTGTGTCTGGGTTTGCTCATCGTGTGTCTCTGGGGCCCAGCCCTGGCCCTGGCACACAGCGGTGCTCCACAGCTGCTTGCAGTCACGGAGGAATCCAGCCCGGCTGGCAAGACCAAGCGGCCATGAGACACACTGGCTGGAGCAGCATCAGATCCCCTGCATCTGTGTACGCTGGTGCCAAGTCAAGTCTGACCCAGGCACCCAGGGGTTCAGGGAAGGAAGGCCATCATGAGCTGTGGAAGATGGGTGTTTCCTAGGGCTGCCATGACGAAGGACCGTGAACTTGGTTTAAAACAATGGAAATATATTCTCACAGTTCTGGAGGCTAGAAGTCCAAAACTAAGGTGTCAGCAGGGCCAGGCTCCCTGGGTAGTCTCCAGGGAAGCATCCTTCCTTGCCTCTTCCTGGCTCCTCGTGGCGCTCAGCCACCCTGGTGCTCCTCCCCCGGGAGCTTTGTCACAGGTCTCTGCCTGCTCTGCCCTCCACTCTGTGTGGGGCTGTCCGTGTCCTCTCCTCTTCCTATCAAGACACCAGTCCAGTGTCTCTTGCTCTTAATTTAATTGCGTTGGCAAAGACCTGATTCCAAATAAGATCATGTTCTGAGGTTCTGGGTAGACCTGAATTTTGGGGAGACATTACTGAGCTCTACAGGGCTCATGGGCTCTTCAGACACCAATGTTTCCCATGGCCAATATCATGTCACAGAAAGGGCCCTAAACTACATTTGAAATTGTGGGCTCTCCAACTAGCGGAGAGACCTTTGGCAAACCTCTCTGTTCCTCTGAGCCTCAGCTTTTACATCTGTTCAGTGGGGATGATGACATATCTGCCCTGTCCTACCTATGTCTCCCAGGACTATTCTGAGGATTGAATAAAATGGTGGCTTGGAAAGTTCTTTGCAGAGTGTAAGGTCAGGGTTGGTAGGTACTCCTCCCTGACCTCCATGAGGCATTAACATTGCTTATCGGTGTTCTCTAGTCTGACCACCCCCTTTCTCCTTGTCAGGATCACTGTTTCTACCACGGGACAGTGAGGAAGGCAGAACGGTCCAGTGTCACACTCAGCACCTGCCGGGGAATGAGGTAAGAGGTCCTGACAGTGCTGGGGGGCACCTGGCACTCTTTCCAGGAATGGAATTTTTAGGACAAGCAGAGCTGGCCTCGGGCGGGGACCTTGAGAAGCTGTCTACTGAGAATGTCTGCAAGCCAGTTCTGAGAAGGGCTAAGCTTCAGAGGGACAAGGGAAACCTGGATAAATCATAGGTTCACTGGGATTAAGCTTTCTCTTTCCTGGGGAATTTGAGATTTTATTATTACTATTATACTGTTATGTGTCAACTATTATTTCTTAGGTATGGTGAAGCCAACAGATAAGGAGATGACTACCATTGAAAAGACAATTTGTTAGAGTCAACATCCCAAGAGGCAGGAGCGTGCCATGCTGGGGGTGAGGGGGCACACAGGGAAGCGCGGAGGTCAGGCAGGAGGCAGGGGGAGGGAGGAGCCTGGGAAAGAGTCTTTATTGTGGTTTCTGCAGGAAGGAACAGGCGAGGCACGGTGAGCAGGCTTAGGGCTGGCTCGTTTGAATGATTTCAGTGAGATCTGGGGCCCAGGGACTTTCCATAGATGTTTGGTACTCAGGCCTGGGATGAATAGGGTGAGATAGTGGCCCTCGGTAGTGGCCCAGGCAGTGAGAGCCCACATTTGATAGGCACTCTCTCTGGGGAGTTGTTTAGTATCTCTAGGAATGGGCTGGCCCTGGAGGGGCAAGGCCTCAGATGCCAAAGCACCAGAATATAGAAAATAAAAGACATGGTTCGTACTTGAAACCGACATGTTTGAGCATTTAGTCCCACTTGCCCTTTGCTGTTCTCTGCCCTTTGTTGTTCTCTGGTAGAAGTACTTGTAGGTGGTGAAAAAGGAAATGGGCAGCTAGTAAAGAGAGAGGGCTGGAGGGAAAAGGAGAAGCAAGGATAATCTTCAAGACAGATAATTAACTGAAAAGTTCCAACTTGGTGGCGTGTAGAAAAGAGAGTGACTGTTCATTCCCTGAGCCAAACTCTCAGGTTTGAGGCAGCAGCAATTTATCAGCTGGGTGACCTTGGGCCTCGATGGCCTCATTTGTAAAATGTGGATCAGAGGAATATATCGCTAGTGTTGCAAGGATGGGCTGTATTAATAGACATCCACCATTTAGAACTGGCTGGCACATAGGAGCGCTCAGTAACCTTCCAGGCCCTTGCTTCCTACATGGGGTTTGCTGAGGGGAGCGGTCTCAAAATGCACTTTCTCAGTCACACCCAGACCTTCTGCATCCTAGTCTGCATTTTACCAAGAGCTCCAGGGCATATACTCATTAGAGTTTGTATCTCAGAATATGTGTTCCTTGAGAATATGAATTATATCTCAAATATCTGTTTCTCTTCTCCAGCCTACCCTTGTACTTTGCATATAGTGATATCTATACATGTATGTTGAAGTAATATTAGTTATTTAGACTCTTCCGACTTTCCCCTCCTTTTGGAAAAGAGATGATGATCTGAAAAACCTGTGTTCTAATTACTTATACTAATTTTATGGGTTTTAATTGACTATACTGTGTGGTACCTATACCCAGTGTGTTGATAAACTGGCTCAAGGGGAGTAAAAACCCTGATTTGTAGCATCTGCTTATATGCTGGTAAAAATACTCCCACTGTGACCAACCTAAAGCTGTTGACGTGATGTTCTGAAGGCAGAGTTGGGAAAATTTGCCCATGTCTTGTTCTCATGAGTCATTAGGAGGTGTTTCCACTCTATACCCTTCCTCTCTGTTGATTGATTCACTCAATAATCGTTTCTTTCATTCAACAAATTAATATTCGGTGCCTGCTGTATGCCCATGCCCTACATAGGCAGAGGAAAGACAGGCATTGAAAAGTAATTTCTGGGCCCTGAGTTTCCTTATGTGTAAATGAGCATCAGTGATAGGCTCAGTAGAGAATGAAGTACTGTGTTAACTCTACAAACATATAGGATGATTATCATTTGATAAGAGTGAAGCCATGCTAAGACTTACCCAAGCTCACATGCAAATGGAAGGCCCCTCATGCTGCAGAACCCACGTGTCTGTTTACAAATCGGGCCATATTTCTGTAAAGCTTCATGGTTAGTTGACTGGAGGGAATTAGGACGGAAACAAGCTTTGGCAGGGAGGCCTTAACAGTGTTGGCTCCAAATCGCCTGTTTCAAGTGACCTGGTTGAGCCCAGCCAACTGACCACCCAGTGATGTTTACAGGCCCAGCTGCTGCCACCTGCAGCCTGCAAGTAAACATCGCCTGTTCCAAGGAAGAGGAGAGGGAACATGCAGGTGCGACTTCTCTCTGCTTTTCCTCTGTCCTCTTACTCTGGAATAGTGGGAACTTAGCTTAGCCTCTTGTAAATCATTACTGCAGCCATGCTGACAGGGAACTGGAGGAGCCGCCCACATGTTTCTGTTTTGCATGCTTCCCTCAGGTGGGGTCCACCAGCCTCACTTTCCCAGCTGTCTCACTACACACCTTCAGAAACCAAGGGTGTCTGTGGGCCTGACTGATTGAAGAGCTTGAGGCACATGCCAGCGGGAGGGCTCAATTCTAACACTCCAGTCACCCCAATGCTCACAAAGCCTCACTGTGATGAAAAATCTCCATAGTGATTGTGCTTCTCTCCTGGAAACGTGGTCCTTGTGATTGGAGAAAATAGGTAGGATTTATACCAAATGGGATCTTCAGGCTGGTGGAACAAATACAGAGGAATACACCTGAGTTTCTAATGGTTGCTGGGCCCCCTCTTCTCTCCAAAGCAGTACTTTAGGCTACTTTAATTGAGGTAGTATGTGATTGTAGCAGAAACAAATTCAAATAGTACAAGAGAGTGTATGATGAAAAATAAGTCTCTTTCTCACTCCAAATGTCCAGATTACTACCGGTTTCTTGTTTATCCTTTTAGAAGTATTCCTTGTGAAAAAAAAGAACAAAAATATGTAATACTGTATTTTGTAACCATATTTAGGCCACTGACCCCTTTAAGAATTGAGTGGCAGCTATAGATACGTATTAAATACACCAATAAAAAGACGTGTCATGCCATTTCATTATGGATATTGAGTTTTTATGTCCCCCAAGACTGACTCTGGATAAGGATACATCCTTTAAATGTCTGCACGATTTCTCGCATGCACCAGTGCTTGCAAACTAACATGGAGTATAACTGCAAGGAGCAGTGGTTCTTTGTGAAGAAATCTAGACTGTACTGGGATTGTTCTGGCCTGAACCACACACACACACACACACACACTGTTTATGTGTCCCTAGCACATTGTCTAAGAGCAAGAGAGGTACAGATTGCAGTAAAAACATTTTTTCACCTGATTGGTAGATCATTTATTTTTAAAGAAGATGCTCATTAAAAATTATCGTTATGTAACTAATTAGCATGTTAACAATCAAGTAATAACAGGAGTGTAAAACCAAAAAAAGTGAGGGTTCTTTATCCTGTCCCACCCTTCCAATCACTGTTGGGGGAATACATAATTGAAATATAATATTGTGTATATGGGTGGTTTTTCTTAATCCAAAAGAGATTACTCTATACATAATGGTCTATAATTTTTTCCCAACCTAAGGTTATATCTTAGCTATACATACAGATCTGTCTCCTTTGAATGACCATGTAGTACCTTATGTACTAATGTCTGGCAAGTTTAATTGCATAAAAAGTCTTTGAAAGGCATACAATAAATCATCTATAATGATTTTTTTTTTGATGCATCACTCTTACAGCAGCTGTGTCCTCAAAATTCTGGGCCACATTCACTGTGGTTATGACTTACCTGTGGTCCCAGGACTCAGACTCTGTGGAAAAGGGAAAGAGAAAGAGGACATGAGACTGAGAATGATTGCAAGAGAATGTGTGTGAATGTGGGCGTGATGGCTGGGAAGGACCTCAGAATTTAGAGTCGAGGGACTGGAGTTTGAGGTCCAGCCCCATACCTCCCGGCTGTATGATCTCAGAACTTTCTTCTCCCTATTCCATTTTCTCCTTGTCTTTGCTTTGGCTGGGTTAGTGCCTCCCGTGGGCCTTAGGCACTCCCACAGCCGGGGCCCCTGGTGTGGGAGGCTGCTGAGTCCGCGAGCATGCCCCACTCCAGAGTAATAAGCCACACGCCAGGAGGCCTGGGTCTGCCCCTGGTTCTAAGAGCAACTCACTGGGTGACCTGAGGCAAGTTCCTTCTCTTCTGGGCTTTGGTTCCTCATCTGAAAAAGGAGGGCAGATCAGACCATGAAAGACTGTGAAGTTCCACACTGCAGAGTGGGCAGAACCTCAGGAAAGTGGGTGCCTGGGCAAGAGGAGGTGGCTCACATGCATGCAGCCAGTCCATGTCTGTCCGCTCCCTTGCCCAGGAGTGGCGTGGCCCTTCCCCTTTGAATACCTGGCCTTCCTTCTGCAGAACAGATAACAAATGCTGCCTCTGCGTCAGGCGCAGAGTTCATCCTCACAGGGCAATACTGTTCAGTTGTGGCAAGTGTAGATTCTGGAGTCAGACAACTCCTGGCTTAAAACCTGACAGATTACTTTCGTTTTTTTCCCATCAGTTGTCTCACCTGTAGAATGGAAACAATGGTGACACCATTGGTGGATGTACATTGGGTGACGAGTGCAACCTTTGTAAGGTCAGGGACTTGATTGTTTGGTCATACTGCTTCCCCATGCCTGGAATAATTCCTGGCACATAGAAGCTTCTCAATACATAGGTGTCAAATAACTATCAAATAAAATGCTTTGCATGCTGCTTGACGTATGATACATGTTCAGTGACTATTCCCTGTTGTTTTTAAGTGTTCCTTCAACTCTTAATAAACACTGCCTAACCAGTCAGTTATTGTAGCAACGCTGTGAAGTGTGCAGCATTACTGAACAGCTTACCACAAAGCTGGTTGACAGCAGAGCCAGACTCAAATCCAGGTGTGTCTCACTCCTGAGCCCCAGCACTCCACTTGCCTGCTGCCCTATCCCAGTGGGGACAAGTCACCTGTGTGCCTCCTTTTCTCCCTTCCGTGCTGCATTCGAAGTTCCCTGGAACTCCTTCCCAGTGGATGCGGATGGGAGGAAAGCAAGGAAGAGTAACAGGGTGGTCGCCTGCTAAGGCGGTTCTGGATGTAGGGTGGGGGGTGTTTCCCCTTGGCTTTAGCTCTGCCCCAACACATTCCCAGGAAGAGGTTCTTGCCTGATTCCCTGAAGGATGCATTTGGGTCTGTGCTGCAGTCATTCAGGGGTTAAACAAGAATTGCCAGCTGCCTGCCTGGCCTGCCTAGTGTGTGAGGTCCTGGCCACCCAGCCTCTTGGATCCCCCTTCCACGTCCCCGGCTAAGCTTTGCTAGCACTTAACATTTAGCAAGTTAGATCAACTGGGACTCCTAGAAGGATAAATGATGGTGGGTGCTCAGGGGAGGCCACCTAGCAGGATGTTGGAGGGGGTGGGGGATCATAGGGGAGGGCCTCAGAAGCTAGATTCTCAGAAATCTCCTCCTCCATCAAAGCTGGGGTTCACTGCGAAGAGCTGGGGCTTGTGCCAGCCTTTCCCTCATCTCCAGGCAGTCCGAGAGGATTGCAGCTGTGACCTGGAGCAAGTCACCAGGCAACCCAGTAGGGGAAGGGAGAGGAGTGGCCATGAGTCCGATGCTGGAAGGACCTTCAGTGGCCTTCTGAGCTTGTGTTTCTCAAAGTACAACCTGCCCACTCCCTGAAGCAGAATTGTCTGGGGCTTTGTGAAGAGACAGGCTCCTGCTGCAGAGCCTGGGCTCCAGGCCAAAGCTCCTGAGGCCTGTGGCCATCTAGGGAGTTACTGTGGGACTCATTAGCAGTGTAGACTCAGGCCTACAGAATCTGAGTCCCCCACATCAGCACTCTTAATATACTCTGTAGAATATTCTAATAGCTAGCTCCAGGAGCCGTGACCCTAGGGATCTCCGACCCGTAGGCTGGAACTCACTGATGGAGGTAGGTAGCATAAATAGGTTAAGGGCATGGGGTCTAGAGCCTGCCAGATGTCGCATCTTTGGCTTCAGATAACCCATGAGAGCTTATTTCCTCTCTTTGTGGCTATTTCCCTATCTATAAAATGGGACCCATGATGGTGCTTTATAGCATTGATGTGGAAATGAAATAGGCATGATTGTTGTAAGCGTAAGCATGGTACCTGATGTACATGGTTGACTTTCAAAAAGTGGTATCTAAAAATGAAAAGTAGGCTGAATGCCTCCTTTGTCGTCTTATCTCCCAACTCATGCCTTACTTTAGACAGGCCAGTTGGGTAACTGCCAATCACACCTCAGAGGAGAGCTGCTGGCGCCTGTTTCTTGTAACCATCCGTAAGCTGGGGATATCTTTCTAACCCACTCTTAACAGCTATTCTGACAGAGGCAGTGTGAGGTCATGGTTCAGGTTTGGGGACCTGGAACCAGACTGCTTAGGTTCTTATGACCTGTGTGGCTTTGGGTCAGTTAATTTAACCCTGCTAAGCCTTAGTTTTCTCATTTGTACAATGGGGATACTATTTGCAAGAATCATAGAAATTGTTGTGAATAATAAAATACTCAGCACAGTGTCTGGTCCACAGCAGTAGCTTGATAATTTATAACCACCACGATTAGTATGCACCATGCACCGAGCTTCGGCTTGCTCTCAGTCCTGTTTGGTGCAGAGGCTTATTCAAATGATGCCTGGTCAAGAATACTGGAACTTTCACCAGTCCCACTGTGGAACTTTCCAGTCACTGGATGTTATCTCCACAACCACAGCTTGATGCACACAAAGCCATCAGCTGGTTTGTGGTCAAGCCCTCTGAGTATCCAATGTTTGTATCCATTAGGGGAAACTGAGGTGACAGGAGAGGCCTTGGTCAGCCTGGGAACAGGATGCCCGCAGCAGCTGTGCCCTCTCCCCTTTCCTGTCTGGGCTCAGGAGTGGATGTGACCCTTGCTGTTGCCCCACGCCCACCCCCAGCTGTTCAGGGAGCACCTTGGGTGTCCCGCTGAGGGGCTGGCCCAGGATGGCTGCGTCAGCCCGGGCAAGGCAGCCAGAAGGTCGTCAGGCAGGATCCCTGGCACCGGAATGAGGTCAGCCAGTGATGGATTCCAGGAAAGGCTGCTGCTGTTCAGAGCCTGGCATTGTCTGTCCTGAGCATCACAGGCTCTGCCCAAAGGGCAACACCTGGGTGGGGACCTAAGGGAGCAGGGGTGGGGATGGAAGCCGAGACAGCCAAACAGAGAGGTCCTGCCAGTTTGGAGTGGCAGAGGCTGACTTGGAGATACTTTAACTTTCTGGATGCACAAAGGCCGGAGGCAGGCCGGAGGCTTTGGAGAACATGAAACAATGCCCCTGGGCCTTATTGCTGAGCTTCTTCCTCTCCCAGAGCCCTGGGTGTGTTCCCTTGCTACAGTATTCTGGGTGTGTTCCCTTGCTACAGTATTCGTCTCCCTGTGTCTAGGATGGCAGATCCCTCCTCATGGGCCTCTTCTCACCCTTCCATTGACTGTGAGTCATGGTGCTGTTTCCCACTGAGTCCAGGTACCACTCTCAGAGGCCTTACTGATGTTGCACTCCAGGCAGCTGCATCCAGTCCCTCAGGATTAGCACGCAGGAAACCTTGTTGCTGTCTCTGTTACATGCCATAGTGATTTAGTCCTGTGTTCAGACGCTAAACTTCATGAGGGCAGGTACATTGTCTGTCTTGTTCACTATTCCATCCTCAGCAGCTGGCACATAGCTGGAGCTCAGGAACCATTTGTGGAATGAATGGCTGTCTGTCCTCCAATGGGCTGTGAATTCTTGAGGACAGGGATTAGGTCTAGACTACATCTGGTATAGTGTAAGTGCTCAGTGAGTGAAAGAATATGATGAAAAAACACCTATCCTTATTCTGAGTTCAACACTAGTATCTATAACCAAGAGAAGGGGAAGAGTACTCACACGCTTGATTGCGGAGACCACTTTACCAAAGAGCTGCCTTGCTGACACGGGGGAGCTGGGGCTAGCTGGAATGCCATCAGTGACACCTCTAGCTTTGGTTTCCAAGTACAAAGACACTTGTCCTTCCATTTAATCGTCGCAAAAATCCAGTTAAGTCAGTAAATTATCATTTGCATTTGCACATGGGGAAATTGATCCTTGGAGTGATTCAAGAGGTTTGGTGAAGAGCACTGGACAATTTAATGTTGCAGCTAAGACCAGGACTCCTCCCACCAGGCCAGCGGTTGTCCCCAGTCACCATAGCCTGAGTCTATAAAGTTTCAGCTTATGATTTGTCAAATGCCAAGTTTGGATTTGGGAGGCTTTTGGGAATCCTGGTCCTACCATCCTTTGTAAGTATTAACTGTCCCAAATAAAGCCTTTCTAGAACCTTTTGAGCTTCTCTGCGATAAGCTTTTTGTATCCCGAAATTGTGCAGTGCATTTCGTGTAGTACATGTGCATCTCTCTGGAGAGGGAGGCTGAGTTTGCATCAGATTCTCAACAAGGGGTGCATGATCCCATAGTAAGGTCAGGAACCAATGATCAAAACCAACTGTATCATTTCGTGTAGGGGGAAACTGAGGCCTAAGCAAGGAACCTTTCCAGAACCACAATCTTTGACCAGAGATTCTATTTCTCCTATTGACAGAGGGCTGATTATGGTGAACGGTAACCTCAGCTACATCATTGAGCCCCTCCCTGACAGCGAGGGCCAGCACCTTCTCTACAGATCTGAACATCTCAAGCTGCCCCCAGGAAACTGTGGGTTTGAGCACTCCAAGCCCACCACCAGTGACTGGGTCCTTCAGTTTACGAACCAATCCAAGAAACGACCTCGCAGGGTGAGTTTCTCAGTGCAGGAGTCAACTTGGGGATAGACTTGTCCCTTCTGAGAGCCCTTGCTTTGGATCCAGGAGTATTTCTAAAAGAAAGGGAGATGGGTCAGAAGGAGGAAATAGCTTTTTTCTCTTACTCTAAGTGATTGTTGAGTGGGAGATACCCTTGTATTTGATGGAATAACTACTTTTCTACCATTTCTACATTTGGGAAAACACTAATACATTTAAAATACTCTGAGATGCTGATTTCAGAAACTTCAAAATGTGAGAGAGAAAAAATATGCCTCCCCTTTGGGAAAAGCCACTTAGCCATATGCACAAAATGCTTGTATTTATTTATACCAAAAATAGAGGTATGTACTTTAAATGGCTTTTAGGAACTTGATTGTCAGTGTGTTCCCTCACAGTATGGTGACCGTTGTTGTGCCTGTGCCGGCCAGGGCAGCTCATTATTTTTGAGGATAAAGGCCTGACCCCAGTGTCCCAGAGCAACCTCCAGCCATAACCAAGCTGGTGGGCAGAAGGTGTGGTGAGGGTGATGGCAGCCACAGCCGGGATGGTCCTTAGTGCCCAGGGACAAAACTAGCAAGAAGGGTCATCGTTTATTAACTAGCACCATTTTTCAGCAAGTTTTTGAAATGAGGCCAAGTCTACCATTTCTACAGCTCTGACCTGCTTGTATCTCTTTCTTAGATGAAAAGGGAAGATTTACACTCCATGAAGTACGTGGAGCTTTACCTCGTGGCTGATTATGCAGAGGTAAGAGGGAGGCAGGGGGTTTTGGCAGAAAAACTGCTCCCTGGACAGTTTCCATCCCAGGCTTGGAACTGCTTCCAGGAAAGGCTGAAAACCTTCGTCTTCTGCTAGTTTGTCATGTGATTTTGACCTTAAATCTGACCAACAGCTCTTTCTGCTATTTTAAACATTGCTGGGGAGAAAACAAGGAAAAGTATCTTTTAGCTCAATACATTAATCAGATAGAAAATTAGGACTATTCATGTTATTTGGATTAATACCTCTTGAACTGGGTCAAAGTGCTTATTCTTAGAGAATCCTTGAATTCACTATAGAAATTTAAAAAATTTTTTTACAAAGAGAGTAAGTGTATTCTCAATCATCTGATTGAACACAATTTTCTTGCCCAAATATGGGTCCATTTTAATAATCACATTGGTGCCAAATGAGAACCTAACGCCATGGTCCCCAAAATGTGGTCCCCAGACCAGCAGCATCAGGGGCACCTGAAAACTTGTGAAAATGCAAATTGTTAGCCTGAACCCAAGACCTACTGAGTCCTACACTGTGGGGCCGGAGTCCAGCAATCCATGTTTTAACAAGCCCTCTGGGTGACTCTGATATACACAGGCATGTTTGAGAATTACCAACCTAAAGGAATAGCTGTTTGACCTTTAATTCCATATTTCTCAGATTAGGTTCTCGCAGGCCGTAAGAGCTGATGAACACTCATCTCTCTCACTCTTCCGTTTCATTTAATCATCAGCAATTTCTTGATTCACTGTTATGTGCCAAGCACACTGGCTGATCCCCAGGAGATAAAGACAGACCTGCTCAGCATCTCAGAGTTTCCAACAGCAGCGCAAGAACTCCACAGTTCCCAAGTGTGAGAACTGCTAATAATGGTTCATTACAGAGGACTGGATTGCAGATCACAGGGAATCCAACATGGTTTGGGGATCTGGGGAAAGCTTCCCTGAGGCAGTGATATTGAAGCTGTACCTGAAGAATGGGTTCAGGCTACAGAGTCTGTATTTGCCTAAATGAGTCATATTTCAAATGCAATTCTCACTTTATGTAGCAAGGAAACCACATAACCAAGCACATCTTTAGGGTATGGAAGGTCATGATGAGCCAATCACTCGCCTTGTTCCGAGTCTGCAGGCTCACTGGTGCTCCCCTTAGGACAGTCGCCACACCTCCCATCCGTCTCCTTCCTCATCCGGATGGGTCAGTGACCAGCTGCCCTGAAAAGTGTCATCCTCAGGCAGCTCTGCCTCATCCACATCCTGGAGCACAGATCTTGGCGGCAGCAGTAGGAAGAACACTGGACTGGAAGAGCTGCCTTCAAATGTTGGTGGCAGGAGGAGGAGGCCCTTGCATTGTCTTAAAGGACAAAGAGTTGTTAACTGGGCAGAGAAATGGAGGTGAAGGGCATGCCAGGCTGAGGGGACATTGTGTGCTGCTCTGACAAGAGTTTTGCTTTTTAATTGATGTCAGTATTGGGTTTTGCAGCAGCTTTTTCTTTTCTCTTCTGTTGCTTTCCTTTCCAAAGACTGCTGTGTGTGTAGGATGGGGGAGTGGTGGGAGCAAACTCCAAGGCTGTTTAAAAAGCTGCAGCTCCCTGATCATGGGAGGAGGTAACGGAAGCTGCTCCTGCCCCTCGCACTGCCCTGGTGGGAGGGCTGCTGGGAACAGCTGAGCTCCTCTGACTCCGGGACATTTTTCCATTTAAGTTTTGCATGAAAGATCATCTAATACAGAGGTCTTGAACCGCTTTTTGACCCACAGAATCCTTTGTTCAGAGGAAAAGCCCCTGGGGCCCTGAGAGTTAAACATATAGAAACCCAGCTGCTCTGATGTGACTCTATAGAGATGACCCTGCTCTTAGGCCCTGCACTCTCCCCAGCGGAACCTGGGAGCAAGGTTTTAAAACCCATGGGGTGCAGAAGCTGGGCAGCCTCAGTATTCCTGACCTCCAGGGTCACAGTGAACTGCCAAGAGGGACAGTGTCTGCCCAAAATGCCTCCAGGGCTGTGGTGTCGCCTAAGCCATCCCCCTGTTCCCGAGGAGGAGGCTTTCAGCACCAGCCTCACAGGCCTGCCCTACAGGGCATGCATGTGGAGGTGGGTAGGGGAATGTGCTCATTTCTTGGGCTCCTGGGCTTTGAGTAATTCATGGTGGGATGTGGGGTAGGACCTGTAATAGGCCAGGCTGCATTGCAGGCCCACAACCCCACCCCCCAGCTGTACCCCACTCCCTCTTCAAAGGGCATCTCATTGTCTGCAAGCAGAAATGTATTCTTGACAATTAATTAATCTGAGAGGATGGGAAGCCTGGAAGGGGATGCCTGCCTTATCTGTGATTTACAACCTGCTGCTGAGACAGGCCAGGCTCCTCCTCCCGGCTCGGAACTCAGAACAGGGAACAGAGACCCTGGGAGTGCTGTGCCTAAAGAGAGTTGTCAGCAGTCAAAACAACAGAGCAGCTGTTCACTCCCTGGGCACCCCCGGGATGGAGCACCTGGGGTGGTTCTCAGCTTATTTATTCCTCAGGTGAAACAGGAAGTCCAGTCAGGAAGAGCAAGACAGCTATAAAAAAGGTGTGCAAGCGACTCATGATAAAACAGAATGGGAGGAGTTGGGAAAGGCCAGAGGATGCACCGTGTTTTACTTCCTGGGTTACCCTAGGAAGTATTAGGTTGAGATATTCCTTTCATTAGATCAGAGGTCTGCCCCTGGCCAAATCCAGCCCACCACATGTTTTAAATATAGTTTTACTGCAACACATCCATGCTAATGCTGTATGTATTGTCCATGGCTGCTTTTGAGCTACAATGGCAGAGTTGAATAGTTCTGATAGAGACATGTGGCCACAAAGCCTAAAATATTTACAGTCTGGCCATTTACAGATAACATTTGCAGACTCCTGCGTGAGACTCTTCTAGGCAACATGATACATTCCTTAAACTGTAGTGGTATTTTCAGGAAGTTGTTTGATGATAGGTTTAATATATTTGAAAGACAATGAAAGCAGACTCTGATGTTCTAATAAATATTCACTAAGTGATGCAACACTTCCTATCCACTGACAAACAGCCAGAATGAGTAACTTCAGGCTTAACACCTTGGAAAGATCTAAGTCACAGGGTCTTAATATTGAATTTAACTCTGTAGAAAGTAATGGTGAAAGTGAGATGATTGACAGTTCTGATGAGTGACAGCTCTGAGGAGCCCAGGAAAAGTCTAAAAGCAGTGGGCGAATAGGAAATGGTGGGTTTCTCCCCCGTGTTGTGATTGGGACACACCCTCATCCCAATAAATATGCCAAGGTGTTTTATTTGGCTGTTCTTTTTATTTCTTGCGTGGGCACTCTTGGAAGAATGTGAAGATCTGGACTTGGAGTAACGTGTAGGGTGTGCCCAGGGTGATCCGATAGGTACCCAGATTCTATGTAACAATGGCAGTGTACAGGAAATGCCCATCCTTTGCAAAATTTAGGTTGCAGATGTAGCAGATTTTATCTTCACACTTCATGAAGCTTTTCTTCATCATTGCAGCTGAAAGAGATCTAACCTTTTGAAGCAGGAATGATAAATATGAAGCTGTATACTGAAATGTTCTCCTCCTGGTCCCGGGGCAGACATTTCTAATCAAGCACAGCACTCTTTCCTGCTGAGCTCCGTGCAGTCTCAGAATTCTTCTCGCTGTAGAATGCACTGCCGGTCCCTCTGAGTGTTGTGCCAGATGAAGCCTATATTGCTAAAGTCTCTTGGGTCCTCTTTGCCAGCACCCATGTTGTGTCGTTCACTCGGCCCTCCCATTGGGGTTATTTCTGTGCAAGTTTTCTCAGCCTACTTTAATTGTGCACTCCTTCAATACAGAATCTGCTACTGTTATTTCTGGCCCTCTCTCTTCAATTGAAGCTTCTCTACGCTACCAACAGGATTTAATACTTTGTGTCCTACTTAGTGCCAAGCACAATGCCTTGCATGGGTTCAGCAACCATTTGACTGATGTTGACTGGTGTCATGTGTAGGGAGGACTTGTGGAGCCCCATGATGGTGTCATCACGTTGGGGTGATGACTGAGGCAAGGATGGAATCGGTCTCTCTTCTAAGCCCCAGTGGGAATTTGTGGGAGGCTTTGTAATGTGGAAGACAGGAAAAAAAGGTTGACTTCAAGGGCCAGAGAAAGAACTCAATTCACTGCCCACCTATTACACGCCTCACTGTGCCTGGCACTGAACTAGTAGTTGGGGACACCAAGATGTCTGTCATCCAGGTTCTGCCCTCCCTGGGCTGACACTATGTGTTGGGGGGAGAGAGTTCTAAAAATGACTGATTATAGAACACAGACGAAAATAAATGTTAATTCAAAGACAAATAACAGGGCACAGAAGGGGTCCTGGAAGCAGTTCTGGGGTCAGTCTCATCTAGTTCTGCTTGTTCCGTTTAGTTTCAGAAGAATCGACGAGACCCAGATGCCACCAAACACAAGCTCATGGAAATCGCCAATTATGTTGATAAGGTGAGACCAGGTGTGTACTTTGTGGGGAAAGTGCCAGCACCTTAGAGGGTCCGCAGGACAGGAGACCATGTGGTGCCTGAGCTGCCACTTGGTGGATTGGCTGCCTCAGCCAGTTTCTGCGAGGCTGTAGCAGTGCCACAGAGGTTCAGGGTGGTCATAACAAGGCCCTCAGCTATGTGACCTGAGTCAAATAACTTACCTTCTTCAGGTTGCTGTTTTGTTTTGTTTTGAATTTTCAAATTAATGGGTTGGCCTAAATCAATTGCTTTCGATTATTTTTGTTTTTCCTATTTCTGTGGAATCCTTCTTTTAAATGAAGTGTCATGCCAATGTCTAGTATAAATGTCAGGTGAAAGTAGACTGCTCCAAGCTGAAGCAGAGGTGAGGACTCTGAGTGCTGTCCTTGATCCCTGCCCCTCATCCCTGTGGTGGCCCCTGCGGAACCCAGGACGTGGAGGAACCCAGCTTAACAGCTTAAGAACACTTTGAGGTTTCTTCAAGATTCCTTCCAGGTATAAAGCCTAGAAATTCTCTGACTTCTAGAGAACTGAGGTAGGTCAGCATGGGAAGGTTGCAGAACCTAAGTTGAGGAGTGGGTTGTTTGGGCCGATCTGCATGGTTGCTATCTGCAGAACGGTTCTAAAATTACGTCTTGTCTTTTAGAACGACTGTGTGGATGGTTAACTTTCTAGATCAGGCCTTTTTAAACATGCTCTTCGGAAATACCCAAGTTCTTGAGTTCTACAAAGACAGGCTGGTCTGGTACTTGGAAGTACTTTGTTTATATGAAAGAGGGTATTTGTTAGAGTGCAAAATGCAGTAGAATGGGCAGCCTAGAATGACAATAGCCTCTTGACAGGCTAGTAGTATATAGCTTTTAAAACTAGATTTTAATATGTTTGGGATCACAGGTCTCTGAGAATCTGTAAACATTTATTATACAATTTCAGGTCATTCACAGATGTCTGAAGCTTAACACTGGGCCTTACAGGGATTCATGGATCCCAGGTCTAAAGGAAAATTTTTTTTTTCTTTCTAAACACTAGAGGATAAAGAAGAGAATATAAATGTTTTTAGGGATTTACAAGCACATTTAGTAGTGTTCTGAAGTCATCACATAGGAGAGTCTATGCCCCTTGTTTTTGTTCTGCCCTGGATGGCTCTGGAAACACCAGGCAGTGGTCAGTGACAGGTGAAAGGCGGGCATTTCCTGGAAGAAAGGAATGCAGGGATGCTGTTTGGTCCTCTTTCTAGCTCACAAGGCACTCGCTGATAACATCTAAATGATCCTACATCCCAAACACTCACGGTCTGAGAAAACAAGGACAGCCTGTTTCCCTGAGGGTATACAGGACACAGGCCCTGTAATCACCCACCTGACATCTGTTCCGGAGGCCTGGCAGGTGGGAGACTTGGCCAGGGCTCCCCTTTGTGGACTCCCCAGCTGGTCTGGGTGAAAGAACCTAAGGTGCTGATGAAATGGAAGAGAGAAATGGAAGAGAGACACCAGCAAACCCTTCCTTTCTTGAAGCCCTCGCCTTGCTCACAGCCCATTCTGTGCAGCAGGCTCGGGTCTCCTCTGATGTTAGTCCCTCCCAGCTGGGGTGAAGGAAGGCAAACCACTTCTCTGAGGCTTGCTGACCCAGCTACTTGCACTGAACTGTTGTTGAACTAAAACTGGAATGAGCTGCACTGATTTGCTGAATGATGAACCCAGTCCAAATTGTTTTTCCTTAACTGTGAAAAAGCCAAGTCTAAGTCCTTAAAAAGCTCCCTAGTGAAGCAACTTTAAATTGGAATCCAAACCCTTTATTTTCTGTAATGACTGACCTGGCACCAGACAAGAAAATAAAAATTTCCACTGAAATCAACTGATATTTGACTCAGTCTGGAGCCCGTTTTACACCACGATTTCTTGGGGGCAAGTTGATTCTCTGAATGTAAGTAACAGCTCTTATGCAGTGTAAGGTCATGAGTGAGTGGGCTCTGAGGTCTGATAATCTGAGATCTGATCTTAATCCTGGCTCCGCCATTTTCCTGCTAAAGTTTGGGCAAGTTACTGAATTTCTCTAAGCCTTGGTGCTTAATATATACTAAATGCTTGATAAACATTAGTGTTGAGATTGTTATTTTTAGCTGTGGTAATACCTGCCAATTTTGGATTAAGATGGTATCTCCTGCTCAGGAGACCTATGTTTACATGAGCCTTTTTTTTTTCAAAGTCATTACCTCAGTAATCTCTAGGAGAGGCCAAAGAATTCCTTGAACCTACACACCTTCTAGTACTTAGCTCTAAAGAAAACCCATTTCCTGCTTACATGTGTATGAGATGAAAGATACCATATCATGAAGATCAGCTGTTGCTCTAGCTTTAAGGTCCCTGAAAACCAGGTCTCATTTACAGAATTTCAGGATCTCTGGATTGGACTGAACCCTGAAGATGATGTGGGACTTTTGTACTCTAATGCTTGCAGCCTCTTTTTGGTATCCTTGATGAAGACTGAACACCTCCAGTGATGGGAAAGGAAACTCTTGAGTAACATATCTATCTATTTGGATGTCGTTTTTACCCATTTACTTCCAAAATGAGTGGGAGACCTCTTACAATAATGTATATCCACACAATGGAACACTGTTCAGCAATAAAAGGGAACGACAAGCTGATAGGCGCTCCAAGACAGATCAAGTTCAAAAACATGCTATGCAAAAGAAGCTGGAGACAAAAGACCACATACTGCATAATTCTGTTCATAGAAAATGTCCAGAAAAGACAAATACATAGAGACAGAGAGCAGATTAGTGGTTTTCTGGGTCTGAGGATGCAAATGGGAAATGACTTTAGATGAACACAAGAGATCTTGCTGATGTGATGAAAATATTATAAAATTGGATTGTGGTGATCACTTTACAACCTGGTAAATTTACCAAAAAACATTAAGCTGTATACCTAATGGGTGGATTTATGGTAAGTCATAGCTCCATAAAATTGTCTTCAAAAATTTATTTTATCTCAATAAAGTTGTTTTTAAAAAAGTCATATGCAAGAGCTGAGGACTATGTAAAGGGATAATTGTACCAGACAGCCAGGCTCAGGGTACTAATTACAACAGCAAAGCTTAGCTCTGAGCTTATTTATGACCAGCTTTATTTGGAATCTTTCTCCCTATTTTTAAATGAAATATGTCTTCTAGTCTGTTTTACCTATTGACTGAGCCCCATGTTCAGGGGAAACAGTGCTGATACTTATGAGAGCCCTGAAGATATTTGAGAGCAACTGTGTCCTATCCCAGTCCCGAGAAGATAGGTCACCCCAGCTCTGCCACCAGAATGTTGTGCCTTTCTCTCAGGATCTCATTTCCTCCTCCTGAAAAACATGGATAGTAACACCTGTTTCCTCCTGCCCTGGGAGGCACATGCAGAGGGGAACTCTGGTATCCGCTCTGAGCCCTTAGGCTAGGAAGGGGCTTAATTATCCCAGGTGGCGTAGACTGAGAACGCTGTGGCTTCTCTGTGTGTGCCTGCAGTTTTACCGATCCTTGAACATCCGGATTGCCCTCGTGGGCTTGGAAGTGTGGACTCATGGGAATATGTGTGAAGTCTCGGAGAACCCGTACTCTACCCTCTGGTCATTTCTTAGTTGGAGACGCAAGCTGCTTGCCCAAAAGAACCATGATAATGCACAGTTAATCACGTAAGTAGCCTTTCTCTGTACACTCTGCCTTGGCCCTGGCTGCCAAGCTGCTTCCCGCAGTGCTGTGCCGTCTGCCCCCTTCTTTCCACGGCGCCCAGCGGTGGTTGCACCAGGCTATCCTGACTCCCGGTAATCAAGTATTTCTCAGGCATGTGCTCTGTACCCCCAGCACACCCTGGAAAAAATTTTAAAGCCTGAGTCATAACAATCCCAAGAATCTAGGTGTTTACAACCTAGATAAGAAAATCAGGCTTATACACATTCAGCTCAAACAGTTGGGCATGTGACTGACCGTTGGTCATGGGGCACTTTGAAACAAAGTTCCTAAGGGGCTCATCTTGATCTTGGTGCTTTGTTCTAGTATATGAGCTGATCTCCCAAAACAGGTGCAAGAGGGAGGCTTCCTCGGGTTGTCCTTCACTTGGTTTCCAGGGACTCTGGGCTGACAGCCTGAGATGGCTTAGGTGGCAGATCGTGAAGGAACTGTGTTTGCTGGGAGGGAGACTTGGGGACCCTTGGGGTGGGGGAGTTGTGTTGGACAGAGAGAAAAGAATAGACACTGTTGGAGTCATGGTGGCATGTGGGGGTCGGGGGATTGTCTGGTATTTATTGGTGCTCACTTCAAAGGTATTCTGAGGCATTTATGACTAAGAGCACATGCTAATAAAACCATTTTCCTTCTGTTTCCTAAATGTCTCTCTGAAGCAACAATCAGTTAAACCTTTGTTTACTCTAAAAGGAACAAAGGGAAATAGTTACTCTAAAAATCTGGGCTATGAGTGGTTACTTCATGATGGTACATTCACCTAGCAAGAGTTTTTGGTGACCAAAATTTTGGCCTGAATTTGGGAAGGCTGGTGTTCTGCTTGAATATAGGTTTCTAAAAGGACTTCAGAGCTGCGTCTAAGTTCCTAACATAACATGTAGGGCTTCATATTGATTTGAATATCTTTCCCACTCCTTTGCAAATGGTTTCTGTGAATAAGAGTCTCCCTTGAACTCAGCAAACATTTATTTAGCACCCACATGTGTCAGATTCCAAGCTAAGTTCTAGTGACCCCAGAATAAATAAGACAGTCTCAGCTCTGAACTATATCTTTCTCTAGATAAGAAGACAAACACAGAGATATAAAAATATCAAATAATGAATTTCCATGCGGATCCTTTAGATATATTACATGTTTGTGGCGTGCACAAAAACACTGGTACTGTATTCATTCCTTGTCCCCTGCCCCACCTGTATGCAGCTAACAGAGGGATGTATTAAACTGGGGGAATGCAGCTGGCTGTTGGCAGATTAGGATCACAATTGCAAAACAATGTCAGAAACAGCTCATCCTGGCACCCAGCTGCACTTTGTGAGGCTCCTGATGGGACACATGTGTTTCCTTGGCCTCAGAGTGATGTGAGAGTGAAGCATCAGCTCCCAGCTGCTACCCGATTCCCCACCTCCTGCCAGACACACATACCACAGAGCCAGCGATGTGGCATGGGACCCCGGCGGCTGGCGGAAGTGGGCTTGATTCACTTCAGTGTGAGAACCTTGCCACTCTCCCCTCAAGCCCTCCCTCTGACCTCTTCCTCTGCAGCAGGAATGGGATGCAGCTTTGCAAGTCCTGCCCATTTCCTTCCAGGGAAGGGGGCTCTGGGCATATTGTGGGAAAAAGTGACTTTTTGTTTTTCTGGAGCAGAGAGGGAGTAGGTGACAGGAATTGAGAGGTGTGGTGACCTGGAAGTTGTCCAATTGGCCTAGAATGCCAGGTCCTCTTTCCTTGGGAATGATCTGGGAATTTCAGTGGGGCCAAGGTCTACGAAGAAGGCCACTTGCTCCTGGGCACATAGGAACGGCCCTCTCAGCGCCCATGCAAATCACCCCCTCTCCTTCCTGCAGGGGGATGTCCTTCCACGGCACCACCATCGGCCTGGCTCCGCTCATGGCCATGTGCTCCGTGTACCAGTCTGGAGGGGTCAACATGGTGAGTCTCAGCCAATACACTGATGCTGCGGAAGGTGGGAAAATGCCACACAAAACAGGCAGTTATCTTGTAAAAAATAATTTTATATTTATTACTGCAGGAAAAAAAAGCTTAATCCCAAGAAGGGCAATTGTTTAGAATGAAATCATTACATTCTAAGAGGTAGAGGTATCCAGGGATGAATTTTCATTTATTGTAGTTTATCTCCAATTGTCAAAAGCTCAAGAGAACCCTGAAGCGATTACATCAATACATCACTAGATCTTTTATATATTCCAAACATACAAGGTGCTGGGGATTAGCAAGATAATAGAGATCAAAGACAACATTTTTTATTCTAGGTCTTGTATTGTTATGCATATCACTGTGACATGAGAGCCTATCTCAAAATCTTGGTGAGGAAATTACTGCCTTCTTTTGAAACTGCCTGACTCTGTGAGGGCATTTGACTGTTCATTTCTAACCTGTGAAGTATATGTCAATGAAGCTTGCCCTCCATCTACTTGTCCATCCTTTTAGGGTGTCCGCCCCATCCCATATTTATCAGTAGATATGACATGGTAGCTGAAAGCCTGGGCTTTTATTCCTGTGCCCGTGCGCACAGTGATTGTGGAGTAGCAGAGGGCTGTGAGGCTTGCCTAAAGAAAAGGTAGGGTTAGGCGGGCGAGCTGTCTTCACCTGAACTGTCTCCCTGAGCAGGACCACTCTGAGAATGCCATCGGTGTGGCTGCCACCATGGCCCATGAGATGGGCCACAACTTCGGCATGAGCCACGATTCTGCAGATTGCTGCTCAGCCAGTGCAGCTGATGGCGGGTGCATCATGGCAGCTGCCACGGGGTGAGTCAAGCGGGATGGTGAGGATGGGAAGGAGGGCGGAGCGTGTGAGGCCAGTGCGACCCAAGCGTTCCTCCCAGCTGGCTCCAGGGAGCCTCTCCTGTACCTCTGGTGGAGCCCAGGGAAAGAAATTCGGTTGACGACAGAGAAGCTGGAAGAAGGCCAAGAAAGTAAATCTGTGGAAGGAGCAGTAGGTTTCAAGCAGGCAGTTTGGTGCTGGTGGGATCCTAGGTATACTTAACTCCTGTCTTAGGGCTGTCAGCTGTGAAACTGGCCTGACAGCCTGTGCCTTTTTCCCATCATGAGTTTTTGAAGAAAACCCATTCTGATAACAGCACGAGCCTTCCTCCTCCCTCTACCCCAAGAGAGTTCGGTCAGTGCTGCTATACCCAGGCTTGACTGAAAGTGCGATGTAGCCTCCAGAACAAGTTAAAGGAAGGGATGCTCCTGTCCATACAGGGCATTTTCAGGCTGGGTTTACCATGAGGAATGAGGACAAGGCAGCTGCATCTCCCTGTCATTTTGAAAGGTTTTTAAACCAGAGCTTTGGAAAGAGAATTTTGGTAACAGCCTCAGCCTTTAGTCACACCTTTCCTATTCGGTGTCTGGGCTCAGAATGCAGAGAGCACTGGGTTCTTCCAGGACCCGAGCCACTCTTTGGGAGTCATGATGGTAAAGGACATTGCGTTCCCCCAACCCAAACCACCGTAGGGCCTGCTTATGCTCCTTAGAGAATGGTGTTTCAGCGTTTCCAGGAGGAAGTGCGCTGTTTCAGAGCCCCAGTATTTTTCTACCACTTGTTGGTGATGCACAAAGGATGATGTTGGCATGCAGGATATGACTCCGTGGGCCCTGCTTGTTCCCTGAGAGCCCATGGTCACACTCGCCCCTTTCTCTCCCAACCTCAAAAGCACTTTTGTAGACAAATAATTGAGAGTTATATTAATTACTACTTACATGTGTTTTTAAACTAACGCTGTGGCTTCTCTGTGTGTGCCTGCAGTTTTACCGATCCTTGAACATCCGGATTGCCCTCGTGGGCTTGGAAGTGTGGACTCATGGGAATATGTGTGAAGTCTCGGAGAACCCGTACTCTACCCTCTGGTCATTTCTTAGTTGGAGACGCAAGCTGCTTGCCCAAAAGAACCATGATAATGCACAGTTAATCACGTAAGTAGCCTTTCTCTGTACACTCTGCCTTGGCCCTGGCTGCCAAGCTGCTTCCCGCAGTGCTGTGCCGTCTGCCCCCTTCTTTCCACGGCGCCCAGCGGTGGTTGCACCAGGCTATCCTGACTCCCGGTAATCAAGTATTTCTCAGGCATGTGCTCTGTACCCCCAGCACACCCTGGAAAAAATTTTAAAGCCTGAGTCATAACAATCCCAAGAATCTAGGTGTTTACAACCTAGATAAGAAAATCAGGCTTATACACATTCAGCTCAAACAGTTGGGCATGTGACTGACCGTTGGTCATGGGGCACTTTGAAACAAAGTTCCTAAGGGGCTCATCTTGATCTTGGTGCTTTGTTCTAGTATATGAGCTGATCTCCCAAAACAGGTGCAAGAGGGAGGCTTCCTCGGGTTGTCCTTCACTTGGTTTCCAGGGACTCTGGGCTGACAGCCTGAGATGGCTTAGGTGGCAGATCGTGAAGGAACTGTGTTTGCTGGGAGGGAGACTTGGGGACCCTTGGGGTGGGGGAGTTGTGTTGGACAGAGAGAAAAGAATAGACACTGTTGGAGTCATGGTGGCATGTGGGGGTCGGGGGATTGTCTGGTATTTATTGGTGCTCACTTCAAAGGTATTCTGAGGCATTTATGACTAAGAGCACATGCTAATAAAACCATTTTCCTTCTGTTTCCTAAATGTCTCTCTGAAGCAACAATCAGTTAAACCTTTGTTTACTCTAAAAGGAACAAAGGGAAATAGTTACTCTAAAAATCTGGGCTATGAGTGGTTACTTCATGATGGTACATTCACCTAGCAAGAGTTTTTGGTGACCAAAATTTTGGCCTGAATTTGGGAAGGCTGGTGTTCTGCTTGAATATAGGTTTCTAAAAGGACTTCAGAGCTGCGTCTAAGTTCCTAACATAACATGTAGGGCTTCATATTGATTTGAATATCTTTCCCACTCCTTTGCAAATGGTTTCTGTGAATAAGAGTCTCCCTTGAACTCAGCAAACATTTATTTAGCACCCACATGTGTCAGATTCCAAGCTAAGTTCTAGTGACCCCAGAATAAATAAGACAGTCTCAGCTCTGAACTATATCTTTCTCTAGATAAGAAGACAAACACAGAGATATAAAAATATCAAATAATGAATTTCCATGCGGATCCTTTAGATATATTACATGTTTGTGGCGTGCACAAAAACACTGGTACTGTATTCATTCCTTGTCCCCTGCCCCACCTGTATGCAGCTAACAGAGGGATGTATTAAACTGGGGGAATGCAGCTGGCTGTTGGCAGATTAGGATCACAATTGCAAAACAATGTCAGAAACAGCTCATCCTGGCACCCAGCTGCACTTTGTGAGGCTCCTGATGGGACACATGTGTTTCCTTGGCCTCAGAGTGATGTGAGAGTGAAGCATCAGCTCCCAGCTGCTACCCGATTCCCCACCTCCTGCCAGACACACATACCACAGAGCCAGCGATGTGGCATGGGACCCCGGCGGCTGGCGGAAGTGGGCTTGATTCACTTCAGTGTGAGAACCTTGCCACTCTCCCCTCAAGCCCTCCCTCTGACCTCTTCCTCTGCAGCAGGAATGGGATGCAGCTTTGCAAGTCCTGCCCATTTCCTTCCAGGGAAGGGGGCTCTGGGCATATTGTGGGAAAAAGTGACTTTTTGTTTTTCTGGAGCAGAGAGGGAGTAGGTGACAGGAATTGAGAGGTGTGGTGACCTGGAAGTTGTCCAATTGGCCTAGAATGCCAGGTCCTCTTTCCTTGGGAATGATCTGGGAATTTCAGTGGGGCCAAGGTCTACGAAGAAGGCCACTTGCTCCTGGGCACATAGGAACGGCCCTCTCAGCGCCCATGCAAATCACCCCCTCTCCTTCCTGCAGGGGGATGTCCTTCCACGGCACCACCATCGGCCTGGCCCCGCTCATGGCCATGTGCTCCGTGTACCAGTCTGGAGGGGTCAACATGGTGAGTCTCAGCCAATACACTGATGCTGCGGAAGGTGGGAAAATGCCACACAAAACAGGCAGTTATCTTGTAAAAAATAATTTTATATTTATTACTGCAGGAAAAAAAAGCTTAATCCCAAGAAGGGCAATTGTTTAGAATGAAATCATTACATTCTAAGAGGTAGAGGTATCCAGGGATGAATTTTCATTTATTGTAGTTTATCTCCAATTGTCAAAAGCTCAAGAGAACCCTGAAGCGATTACATCAATACATCACTAGATCTTTTATATATTCCAAACATACAAGGTGCTGGGGATTAGCAAGATAATAGAGATCAAAGACAACATTTTTTATTCTAGGTCTTGTATTGTTATGCATATCACTGTGACATGAGAGCCTATCTCAAAATCTTGGTGAGGAAATTACTGCCTTCTTTTGAAACTGCCTGACTCTGTGAGGGCATTTGACTGTTCATTTCTAACCTGTGAAGTATATGTCAATGAAGCTTGCCCTCCATCTACTTGTCCATCCTTTTAGGGTGTCCGCCCCATCCCATATTTATCAGTAGATATGACATGGTAGCTGAAAGCCTGGGCTTTTATTCCTGTGCCCGTGCGCACAGTGATTGTGGAGTAGCAGAGGGCTGTGAGGCTTGCCTAAAGAAAAGGTAGGGTTAGGCGGGCGAGCTGTCTTCACCTGAACTGTCTCCCTGAGCAGGACCACTCTGAGAATGCCATCGGTGTGGCTGCCACCATGGCCCATGAGATGGGCCACAACTTCGGCATGAGCCACGATTCTGCAGATTGCTGCTCAGCCAGTGCAGCTGATGGCGGGTGCATCATGGCAGCTGCCACGGGGTGAGTCAAGCGGGATGGTGAGGATGGGAAGGAGGGCGGAGCGTGTGAGGCCAGTGCGACCCAAGCGTTCCTCCCAGCTGGCTCCAGGGAGCCTCTCCTGTACCTCTGGTGGAGCCCAGGGAAAGAAATTCGGTTGACGACAGAGAAGCTGGAAGAAGGCCAAGAAAGTAAATCTGTGGAAGGAGCAGTAGGTTTCAAGCAGGCAGTTTGGTGCTGGTGGGATCCTAGGTATACTTAACTCCTGTCTTAGGGCTGTCAGCTGTGAAACTGGCCTGACAGCCTGTGCCTTTTTCCCATCATGAGTTTTTGAAGAAAACCCATTCTGATAACAGCACGAGCCTTCCTCCTCCCTCTACCCCAAGAGAGTTCGGTCAGTGCTGCTATACCCAGGCTTGACTGAAAGTGCGATGTAGCCTCCAGAACAAGTTAAAGGAAGGGATGCTCCTGTCCATACAGGGCATTTTCAGGCTGGGTTTACCATGAGGAATGAGGACAAGGCAGCTGCATCTCCCTGTCATTTTGAAAGGTTTTTAAACCAGAGCTTTGGAAAGAGAATTTTGGTAACAGCCTCAGCCTTTAGTCACACCTTTCCTATTCGGTGTCTGGGCTCAGAATGCAGAGAGCACTGGGTTCTTCCAGGACCCGAGCCACTCTTTGGGAGTCATGATGGTAAAGGACATTGCGTTCCCCCAACCCAAACCACCGTAGGGCCTGCTTATGCTCCTTAGAGAATGGTGTTTCAGCGTTTCCAGGAGGAAGTGCGCTGTTTCAGAGCCCCAGTATTTTTCTACCACTTGTTGGTGATGCACAAAGGATGATGTTGGCATGCAGGATATGACTCCGTGGGCCCTGCTTGTTCCCTGAGAGCCCATGGTCACACTCGCCCCTTTCTCTCCCAACCTCAAAAGCACTTTTGTAGACAAATAATTGAGAGTTATATTAATTACTACTTACATGTGTTTTTAAACTATTAACAAAGTTTTATTAGTAATAAATTCCCTGTGACATGACAAATTCCTTGTGACATACCTGTCAACTGAAGGAAACCTCCAGATTAAACTTGAATTGGTTTAGTGAGTTGCAATCAGAATAACTCTTTATAGACCCAAATGGTGGTAGTGACCTGCCATCTGGGAATACATGACATTTGATTGTATCTCCCAATCACAGGACCCCAGAACCTTTCATACTCTTGCAATAAAAACCACACGTTTGTAAATTGGCTGGTTTGAATTTGGAGCACTTCCTGTAACCATAGAACAGAGATCAGATCATTGACTCAACAAAGAAATGAAACCAAAAATCTTGGCCATTTTTGGCCTGGTTTTCTATCCCAAGAAAATCTCCACTAACATCAGCTTCAGGAAAAGTTTGGGTTGGCTGGTATTTTATTCATCTGTCAGGCTCAAGAGATTTAGTATAACACATTCATAATCCTCACTTATCACAACCCCTTCCTGCAAAGGGCAGAAATTGCTGTTTCTCATTCTTAAATACTTCCTCCATGCAGAGTGAGGGGAAAAAACATTATGGATGGTTAATATTTTTTAATTCTTAGTAAGATTTGTAAGTAAATGTATTGGTGATCTTCCAAGGGCGCAGAATGTAATGTGCCTTGGTGATGTTCTAAGGGGGAATGTATGCGCATAGGGCGAAGTGGCTCTGCATCCAGGTGGAATCGCAATCAGCCCCATGGGCAGCAGGATTGATGCTGTTCTGGCTGCTTGGTGCTCAGACTCCCAGCTAACTCCAACCTTATTCTCTGCCAGGCACCCCTTTCCCAGAGTGTTCAATGGATGCAACAGGAAGGAGCTGGATAGGTATCTGCAGTCAGGTGGTGGGATGTGTCTCTCCAACATGCCAGACACCAGGACACTTTATGGAGGCCGGAGGTGTGGGAACGGGTACCTGGAGGATGGGGAAGAATGTGACTGTGGGGAGGAAGAGGTAAGGTGTCGTGGTAGGGAAGGGATGTGGGAATGGAAGAATGTGCCCTGGTTTCAAATCACAAAGTTGGAGACAGTGCAGTTGGAAATGTCTCAGTCTCAACATTTCCTGCCTGCATGGCCATCAGAGACCCCCACAAATAAGATGTGGAAAGTAAGCCTTCAGTATGGACCATTTTCACAGATTCTCCCAGTTTGAGGATGGTACTCTTTGTGTCCAAGTCAGGATGGAGTTCATGGGATTGGTCTCACCGAAAGCCTCAGTCTCCTCCCCAGTGGAGCTACAGGTAGCCTCGTTGGCCCTCCAGCTGCACCGAGTTCATACTGGGGGCCATGTAGCTGGACATAGGAACTTGAATGTGGGCCTTATGAGGATGCTCAAAATAGCAAGCTTGTGCTGGTTAGCCTGGAGAAGAGATGGTTGAAAGGGGATGTAGGAAGTACTACTGTCCATCCTGAAAAGGGCTGCTAGGAGGAAGGAGCAGAACTGTTTGTGGATAAGCTGCTTCCTTCCTTTTGATCTTCAAAATGAGTGTGGTGGGCTTCTAACATAGCTGTCATTTTTAGCAGATGAGTGTTGTTCTGCGAAAAGCAGAACTGGGTAGTTTCATCTCTGCTTTTTGAAGCATAAAAATATGTATGTTAACATGCAAAACAATTTGGGAGAGAATGCATGAGTTAACAGGAAACCCTGGGGTGGAGACTGAGAGTTTATGTGCATGTGAAAAGACTATTTGATTTTATGACCTTCTCTATGGTTTGATTTTTTTATATGTCAGCATGTAACTTTCATAAGAAAACAAGAAATAGTTATTAAAGACCCTGCCACCCCCACCACCATGAGTCGAGAGAGATTAACACAGACCCTTCTGAAAGGAGGGAGTTGTATTGTAATGGGGGGATCAGAGTGGGTGAGGAGCAACCCACCAATGGGTTCATCCAGTTGGCTTATATTCAGAATAGCTGCTTATTCAACAAATATTTACTGAGTGTGGAGTACTATGCTGGGGGCTAGAGACTAGACAGATAGTAAAAATACATGTGGTTCCTATCCTTGTGGAACATACAGTCTAGTTGGGGAAACACACATTGACCAAATAATTGCAAAAGTATAAAAACACAAGTCATGGTAAATGCTGGGAGAGCCAATGACATTGTCCTATGAGAATATGTAGTATGTAGTAGATGGGAGTATGACCTCTGACCCCAAAACCAAAGGCTAAGTTACGAGTTAGTAAGGAGCACAAGGAGAGAAGGCACGTTTCAGCTAGAGGAGGAACCGTACCTTGAGGTGGGAAGAAACATGGTTATGTTAGAAGAGAAGGAACATGGGTCTGCTTGGAGCCCGAGCTGGTGAGAGATTAATGGAAGGTATCTGCAGGCAGGTGGTGAGATGTGTCTTTCCAACATGCCATACATCAGGATGCTTTATGGAGGCTGAAGGTGTATTAAGTGTCTTTATTTCTTCTTTTTGGGGAAACAGGTGGCTGGGTATGTGTAGTCAGGTGGCAGGATGTCTGTCCAACATGCTAGACCTAGACAATTCTGGCTCTGGTGTGCTCAGTAACCATGGGGTGGACCACAGGCAGACACTGCTTGAATTCAGCTCCAACGCTTGCCTCGAGTCATGTGTGCACCAGTCAGCCACTAGATGTGTCTGACCTGCAGTTTTCCCATCTGTGAGACAGAATAATCCTGCTCCACAGGCTGTGGCAGACCTGTGCGTGGAGCCTGGCACACTGTCAACAACGCAGATCCACCTAGGGATGTAGTGGCAGTGTGATAAGGACACTCAGTCACTGGGGTGTCTCAGCATCTTTTTATATCATGCTGTATGTCGGGAAATCAGGACTCATAGGTCAGGAAGGAAGAGAGGAGACCTTGGAACTCCTAGAGACCTTCTGTTCCAGAAACATTCAGGCCAGTGAGAATAGAGTAGCAGATGGTGAGAGAAGGCTGAGGAAACAGGCCCCAGGAGCCGCTGTGAACTGTGTGCGGAGGTGTTCCGGCATGCCTTACTCCTGATGGCCTCTTTTTATGATTCTAAGGCCTGGAGGTATAGGAGGCAGGCAGGGTAGCAGTACAAGACAGGGTCTCTGGATTTCCATACAGAGTAATACCATTCTAAACATCATATTTCAAAAGATACATGATTACAGGGGGAAATGCACATATTTTATTAAGTTAAAAAGCAGTGTGGATACTATGACTTTGTAAAATAAGCATATGTCTATATATGTATAGGAAAATGCCTGCAAAAATATTCACTCTCAAAATGTAGTTGTGTCTAAGCTGTGGTGTTAATCATTGTGCATTTGTATATATCCTAACAATAAATACAGCTTAGTGATAAAGCTATAAAGTGGTTTTTTTGTTAAGACTTCCTAGGGAGCTTGGACTCCAGGAGCATGTGGGGTGGGTGGGGAAACATAGGAGGCTGGTGGAGGCTCTCGCCCTGCCCAGACTCCTGTCTCCCTGCCCTGCCGCCCCAGAGGCTCACGCCCACTCCCACCACCTCCACAGGAATGCAGCAGCCGCTGCTGCAATGCCTCCAACTGCACCCTGAGAGAAGGCGCGGAGTGTGCCCATGGCTCCTGCTGCCACCAGTGTAAGGTAAGCGGCCCTGGCCCCCTGCCCCGCGTCCTGACCTGACAGCCCCATGCTCTGCTGGGGCCAGTGGCCAGGATTCAGACCTCCATCCTGGGGTAGTGACGGCATCAAAGTTTCAGAAACATGGAGCTGGGCAGGCCCATTGAACAAAGTTGACTATTTCCTATACTGGGCCTCACTGCATTCAGATCATCTCAGAGGGCTGTGCCTCCTGGAAGATGGAAGATTTTTTTTTTTAAAGAAGTATCCAGGGAGAGTGGGTTTGATTAATAATAACCATAATTTTGATTAACATTAATAGATCTCTTATTAGGGAATTCTTCACTAGAGAATTTTATATATCTTATCTCATTCAGACCTCACAAAAGCCCCATGAGATGTATATTAATACCCTCAAATTAGATGAGGAAACTGGGGCTCAGATGTGATAAGTGGCTTATCTGGGATCACATAGCCAGGGTGGGGCAAGCCAAGTTTCCCTGACCCTGGAGCCCACCCTCTTAATATTGATGTGGAAGACATTGCTACTAATATTACTATGTGTTTACAATCTCTTATCTACAATTCTGAAATTCAGAAAGTTCTAAAGGGTGACCAAAAACATTTTTTAAACTTGTTTGGTGGCGAAATTTGACCTGAATTGACATGAGACTAATTATAGTCTCTAAAAACAAGCACACTTAAAGTCAATAATTTGTATTTTTTTGCAGAAGTAGTAATATGTTTGATTATCAGGCATAATCCCAAGCCTTGCTGGGGGGTTATATAATATACATATGGACTGTGTGCATGTATATACATATATATGTGTGTGAATATGTACAGGGTCTGCTTTCTAAAATCTGAGAAGTGTGAAGCCCATCCAGCCCCACAGTTTTGGATAGGGACTGTGGATCTGTGCTTCCACCTAGCACCTCTGAGTGTTCATTATGTGTCTGATACTGTTCAAGTGCTTTATTTGAACTCATTCCTTCTAACAACCCTACAAGAGGGTTATTATCCCCATTTACTTTGCATGAACATAGAGGTTAAGTAGCTGCTCCAGATCCCACTGCTGGTTAAGCACCTGGGGTTTGAACCCTCACGTGCTGGTTCCGGGGTGGGTCTTCTCTACTTCCATCCTGCTCCTGGGTGGTAGAGATGCATCCTACAGCCTCCTCCTCAACACATGGCCCATGTGCACCCTTGCAGCTGAGCTCTATGCTCTTCAGCAAGCTGCTCAGCTGGTCCATTCTCTGCCTCCCTCTTTGGAGGGAGGGCCTTGTGGGTGGTGTGAAGTAACATACCTGGGAGCAGGGAGGGCGCTGTTCTCAGATGTAGCTTTCCTTGCCTGGCCTAGGGAAACTTGTCATCTCATTTGACTGTAGGGTGGACCCAGCATTCACCTAGGAAGGTGCTGGGTTCTGTCCCTAAGGGTCTTGGACCGCAGTCCAAGAACAAGCATGGAGAGAGAATGTTCATCTCATTCACTCCCAGGACTTCAGAAATCCTGAAAGTCTCAGAAAGTATTCCTTAGAGCAAAGTATGTGGGGAAAGATGAGGCTTGGAGTCTGAGTCTTCAGTTCAAGCCCTGATTGTGTAATTTGGAATAGCCTACTAACCATCTTGAGTCTAGGCTCCTTATCTATAAAATGGGAAGAGTAGTAATAACACTGACCCCAAGGGAAGCTGGAAAACTCAAGTGGAAACTCAGTCTTTACCATTCGTCCAAAGGTTTGCTATTGATCAAGTTTTTTTATTTGCAGAATGAGGCAAATAGTAGTATCTGTCTCATGGATATTGTGAGGATCACATGAGATGAGCATGTGTAACTTGGTCCAGTGCTTGGCTCAATGATGGGGATATATTTTTGTTGAAGTGCTTTGTAAAGTCAAAGATACTGTGTGAATACCAGCTTAGTGTGTTTGTGTGTGTGTGTCACCCAGATGTACATGTAAATGTTTAGGAGTAAATGTGTATTTATATTTGTATTGCATTTGTAAATACATAAGTGTGCATGGATCTATGTGTTTACATATGGGAGTTTGTATGTGTGTATGTATCCGTATGTCTACATACACATGTATATGGCCTGGCTATTCAGCCATTACTAACCATGAGACTTTGGATCCATTGCTTAACTTCTTCTGCCTCAGGTTTCATCATCTGTAAAATAGGGATAATTATATTACATAGGACTGTCATGAAAAGTAGATTAAGTAATAGTGGTACTGGGCATGAAAGTAGGAGCTCTGTAACAGTAGCCATTATTGCTGAAGTACTTGGTAAACTGAATACTGTTGCACAGATGTTATTTTTTAACTCCTCCTTATGACTGCTATGAAGAGGAAGGGAGTTATCACTGGTGAAAACTCAAAGTGACTATTCACATTAGGAGGTTAATCATGGTCAGAGCTAATGAGGCCATGTAAAATAAAGGCCTCTGAAATTATGGTAATGGAAATTCTGTTCCACAGAGTGACGTGCATGAGCCCTTTGCTGGTAGAGTTGAGGACAGGTGGGGGATTAATTGTACTTTCCCTCTCATTCCTCGGCTCAGCTGCTGGCCCCTGGCACCCTGTGCCGTGAGCAGGCACGGCAGTGCGACCTCCCGGAGTTCTGCACAGGCAAGTCTCCCCATTGCCCCACCAACTTCTACCAGATGGACGGCACCCCCTGCGAGAGTGGCCAGGCCTACTGCTACAACGGCATGTGCCTCACCTACCAGGAGCAGTGTCAGCAGCTCTGGGGTCCTGGTAAGGGCCCTCCTCCTGCCCCCGCCCCCAGGCCAGCCTCCTGCTTCAGGCACAGGGGTAGCTTAGAATCAAAATAGCATCTCTGGGTGCTTCCTTTCTCATCCCCTTGGCTCAGTGTAGACCTTCAGGGAGAATCAGTGGACAGTGTTCTTCCCAGTTCCTTGATGCTTTAAATTCTAAGTGGATAATGGATAAGAATAATCTACCAGAAAAATGGGCAGAGGATGGAGACAGCAGAGGAAGTGCAAATGGCCCTTAAGCTCTGAAAAGATGTTCAACCTCACTCATACTGAGTGAAAGGAAATAGTCATTCATATATCAGATTGGCAAAGACTAAAGAGTTACCATAATAATGTAATAATAATACCATAACAACAAGAGCAACAATAGTGTGGAGTTTGGAGAAACAGGTAGGTACAACCTTATGGAAAGCAATTTGGAGATACCAGGATTTTAAGTGCATTTATCACTGGACCCATCCATTCTACTGTTTAGGAATATATCCTACACTTGTATTTGCACACATACGTGGAGATAGCTTTACAAGGATATTCACTGTTAGTGATAGCAGTAACAACCTATGTATCTTTCAATAGTGACTGATTAAATTAATGCTGGTATATCCATACAGTGGAACACTGCAGCTAAATAAAAGGAAAAGGCAGCTCTGCACGTGCTGAATAAAGTCGTCTCTCACAATAAATAAAGTGAGGAATGCAAGATGCAGAATAGTGAATAGAATATGCTGCCATTCTTTATTAGAGAGATCATCTCTAGAGGATACCCAAGAATTGTGTCTAGAAGATAGAGATACAGTTATCTCTTGAAGATACACTGTGAACTGTGATTAATTTTTAGGTTGTGGGGAAGCAAATAGGAGCTGTAATGGCTAGTTAGAAAAATTCCAAGACATACTTTATTTCTTTAAAATTGTGCACATGTTTTACCTTTTTTTAAAAGTCTGAAATGAGGCAGGCCTTCTTCATTAGAGAGAAGGCTTAGCACACAAACTTCCCACAGATATGAAACTTCAATAAGGTGTGAAGAACTGATACAAAACCTTTTTCTATGACCAGTTCTTAATGAGAAAATGGGGGTGGAGTAACCTGATAGGGGTAGGAAAAAAAGGCCTGAATATTTCCTCCCTAAGAATTTTAACCTCATGACTTTACCAAGGGAGCTTCTGATTTCTACTGAAGTTGGCTAGTGTACTGATAAATGTTTCTTGCCCACCTAGGAGCCCGGCCCGCTCCTGATCTCTGCTTCGAGAAAGTGAATGTAGCTGGGGACACCTTTGGAAACTGTGGGAAGGACATGAATGGGGAGCACAAGAAGTGCAACATGAGGTGATGACCCAGAGGCAGACCCCATGAGATGCGGGGTGACAGCAATTTCTGCTCTGTCCTCACTCCTGCCCAGCTCAGTAGTGTGGTGGCCTCAGAACTGGGCCTTTAGATAAATCGGCTAGAGTCAGTCTCTGTTCCAGGCCCATTGCTGGATAATGCACCATTCAGCTACAAGGAAGTCAGAGGGCGGGTGTGGGTGGCAATGCTTCCTAAAAAGCTGGTCAGACCTCCTCTTGGGACCTTCTTACAGAACGGCAGGGAATCAGCCCTTTGGGGTCATTTCTTCAGGGCACTAATTATACCTCGTCTGAATACCCTGTCATTCATTCGCTCATTCATTCATTCATTCATTTCAACCCAACATCCACCCATCCATCCATCTGTCCATCTATTCATCTATCCATCCATCCACCCATCCACCATCTATTAAGGGTTTACCATGTGCCAGATACTATCCTGAGCACATGGAACTTTTAGTTAGCAATGTAGTGTGATAATGGAAATATGGAGAGAGATACCCAACCCAATCTCAGTGGGTTGAGGTGGTTTTCCAAAAGAAGTTATGCCTAAACTAAGATCTACAGAAATGATCGAGTTGAACAGAATGGGGTGCTAGTACACAGGAGAGTAGATAGAGGAGTAAAACTGGCAGCAGGAAGAACTGATAATAGTTTGATACAGTTAAAGTATAATGCTAGGGTGCAATGCTGAGAAATGAGCCTGGATAAGGACCTTCATGGAAAGCCTTGAATGCATGGCTAAGGGAGTCTGGCCAGGCTTGAGAGCAGTTTGGAAATTAGGCTCCAGTGTGGCAAGTCTGGAGGCAGGGAAATCAGTTTCCTGGTGTCTAGGTAAGAGGATGGTGGTGTGAACTTCAGTAAGTACCTAGAAGGCAGGATTGACAGAGCTTTAAAATTGCTTGAACCCAGGACTGAGGGGGAATGGGGATTCAGGAATGGTGCCAGGCTTCTGGGTGCAGCACCTGGGTGCACAGGAGAGGGGCAGAGGGGGCAGGCTGCCCAGATCAGGCAGTTGTCCTTGCAGTAAAGAGGACGTGCCAAGGCCAGCTCTCTGGCCTAGATCTGCTCAGGGACAAGGACCTTGTTTCCTGTCCTTGGTCTAAGTCCACATGGGGTCTCTCCTGCTGGGTCCCTGGAACACACTCATTGCCCCTTGCCTCTCCCCAGCCTAAGCCTGCTGTCTTGGTCAAGAAAGATGGAAGCTCTCTGCACCCTGGCTCTTCCCCTTCCTCTGATTCCACCTCCTTCCCTCCTTCTCTGGGGCGTAGAGATGCCAAGTGTGGGAAGATCCAGTGTCAGAGTTCTGAGGCACGGCCCCTGGAGTCCAACGCGGTACCCATCGACACCATCATCAACATGAACGGGAGGCAGATCCAGTGCCGGGGCACCCATGTCTACCGAGGTCCTGAGGACGAGGGTGACATGCTGGACCCAGGCCTGGTGATGACTGGGACCAAGTGTGGCTACAACCATGTGAGTCCCTTCCTCCCATCTCACTCATGGGCTGGGCTGCAGAGGGGAAGGAGTGATTGAGAAGTGTGAGCTTTGAAGAGAGATGCCCAGGCTCAGATCCCAGCTCCCACAACCCCTCTGAGCCTCAGTGGCTTCCTTATTAAGCATGTTAGTAATAGCAAGAACCACCCCATAAAATTGGTATAACGATTAAATAAGATAATCCCTGTAGACCATGGAGATGGGCTAGGTATTATTACTTTTGTCCTCATCATTAATAATCAATATTATTATATGAATGAGAAATGGAGTAGACTAGGAGTTGGAGAAGCCCAGGGAAAATAATGGCACTTATCTCAGAGTTAACCAGGAATGAAATTATAAAAACATATGAAATACTTGGTGTAGTACTTGGCACAGAGTAGCCTGCTGTCACCATTGTCATTATTTTAATGTCTAATGTTAAAATTAGTGCTCATTAATATATACTTAAGTGATTAACATATAATCAAAATATAGTATATAGGATGTAATAACATTTATTATATTAGTAAATATAATATTTTAACAATATAATTATTTGTTTTCTCCTTAATTACAAAAGTAGTAACAGAATTTAGTTAACACCATCCTGTCCTTGGCATTTTAGGTTGTTTTAAATTTTTTACTGTCATAAATAACCTGAAGTGTGCTGCCTTTTTGAGTTCCATATGTTCTAAGTGCCAAACCCTAGTCCCCTGATGGCCAACCAATGTCTCTTCCGCTTTGCTGATGGCTCAGTGTCCTCCTCACGACAGATTTGCTTCGAGGGTCACTGCCGGAACACCTCCTTCTTTGAAACGGAAGGCTGCAGGAAGAAGTGCAACGGCCATGGGGTAAGTGCCGGGGCTTCTGGGCTCCTGCGCACCGCTGGCGGTGGGAGCTGGAGACCCCTGGAAGCTGACCCCGCCTGCCTCTCTCTCCAGGTCTGCAATAACAACCAGAACTGCCACTGCTTCCGGGGCTGGGCCCCACCCTTCTGCAGCACGCCCGGCCTGGGGGGCAGCATCGACAGTGGGCCCATGCCCCCAGAGAGTGAGTGCCGCCTGCGCAGTCAGAGGGGTGGGCGCCTGGGGCAGGTGGCCTGCTGCAGAGGGGTAATGCGTCAGCTGCATCCTCCTGATTCTGTAGATGAGGAGACAAGTAAAAGCAGGGTGGCGCTGGAGAGCGGCAGAGGCTAGCAGCCTAGCGCGGGGCACAGCTCTGTGGCGCCTCCTCTGTCCTTTCCACTGCGCAGGGTGAAACTGCCTGGTCAAGGGAGATTAAGATAGACGTGAGGTTACTGAAGAATCCCATCCTTTCTTGGGGGTGGGATGGCGACCAGTCTTTCTCAGTAACTAACATAATCATGAACGTGGAGCACTTTATAAGTAGTTCAGATTCCCTTGGATGAACAAGGCTTAAAATGGAGATTAAACACATCTCAGTGATTTTAGCCTTTTGATTTCCAAGCTTCTGTTTTTTTCAATAGTAGCAAAGCACTTTTGTTGAGCAATATCTTTCAAAGATAAAAGTAGTGTGTCACTGGTGTCTATATATTTTGTACATGTAAATGTATAATTCATGAGAGGCAGCTTTGATGAAACCAAGCATGGAATTGTGGATTATGCATGCGAGTTCTAGTCTTACATCAGTCTAAGGCTCCTAGCATTTTGTGTCGGTTGCTTTGTGTCCAGAAAAACCATGATTCAGGCTGGAAACTAGTGGTAAATAATAGAAGTGGAGCTACTTGCCTCAAAAGAGACTCTCTTAATTAAACATAAGTGGTTGGAGAAGCTTTATTACAAGATCTGTACAAAGCAAATTGACCGGGCTGCTTAAGTTAATATTAGTAATTTCCCAGTGGTATACGATGTGTGTTTTTTACTACACTTTTTGAGTTAAAATAAGTAATATAAGCTAAATGCAGCTCAAATATTCTGAAGAAGAATCAGGAATACATTGTTTGAAATCCACTGCTATTAGCCAAAATAGTGTCTCAGCCTCTCCCTTGGGCTCTGTTTCTGGAAGGTGCTGGCCCTGTGATAGCTGGAGTGTTCACAACCGTCTTTGTGCTGGTGGTCCTCACAATGATGTACTATTGCTGCAGACAGAACAGCAAACTAGGCCAGCTGAAGCCCTTTGCCCTCCCTTCCAAGCTGAGGCAACAGCTCAGGTATGATGGGGTGCCATGAAGGACTTGGGGTCTGCTTATGGATCATAAAGCAGTTCCTGGTGGAAAAGTTGGTGGTGATGGGTCTAATTCAGGGAGGGCGCATTTGAGGCACTTGCCGCCCTCTTCCCTTCTGCGGTGCTCCAAGACCATGGCAGACAATTACTAGTTGGCCTTACTATGGAAGTACTCTCCACTAACCTGGCCATCGCTTTCAGAATCCTTCTCAGTAGACTGACCCCGACCAGTTTAAGCTGGACTGTGAAATGAAATCTTTACTTGTTTGATTTGCTTTCCATTTTAAAGAGCAGGAGACAGGCAACAGAGTGGGATTGACTAGTCCAAGTCAATCACAGGGGTGGCTGGACATCAAGACAAAGTTAACTTTTTTTCAAGCGATTGATTCTTCTGGATATTTCATATGAGTAGTCTCCGAGTTCCCTATTAAACTACAGTTGTTCTGGAGGGGATTTTAAATCCCAAGTCTTTCTGGATCTATAGCTGAGGGGGCTTAGTTGATGGCTGGTAACATCCTATGTCTCTGGGGGAGAAAGTTCTTAAAAGGCCAAAGAAAAAGTACTGAGGAAACTGCTTTGTGAAGGCCAGCTCCCTTTGCTTGAGAGTTCTCCATCTGCAAGGACTCCTCACCTAGCGAGACATGTTCAGGAGAACCGGTGCCACCCTCAGAGCAGGCTTGGGGAAGGTTTGGCTACTTGCTGGCCATGCTTGGGTCAGAGGGAACTCGGGCACTGACGCTCAATGAACACCCTCCCTTCCTTCTCCTCCCCCATTTCTTGTTACCAGTTGTCCCTTCAGGGTGTCCCAGAATAGTGGAACTGGCCATGCCAACCCAACATTCAAGTTGCAGACGCCCCAGGGCAAGCGAAAGGTAAGGGGTTTGCACCACTGCGCTTTGCTACTGTTCCTTATCCCTCAGGACTGCTGGATTGTCCTAAGAATCTCTGTGGGCCTGTGGGATTGGTAATAAAAGCTGCTTTCTTGGCTTGAGAGATGTTCATTTGGTTCTGACATGCCCTCATGACTTCAAAGGTTGCATCTGACCTCTGAGATCCTAGGGATTCAGCTGGTCAGCATGCCCTCCCCTTGGCCTCTGGTCATCTCAGGGAGGCCCACAAAGGCATCCCGGAGTCTTTAAGTACATTGAGGGTTCCTGTGTATCAGGCATTCTTTGTCTTTTGCATGCAGGTGACCAACACCCCTGAAACCCTACGGAAGCCCTCCCAGCCTCCTCCCCGGCCCCCTCCAGACTACCTGCATGCTGGGTCCCCACCTGCACCATTGCCAGTTCACCTCAGCAGGGCTGCTAGGAACTCCCCAGGGGCTGAGTCCCAAGTAGAGAGGAAGGAGTCATCCAGGAGGCCTCCCCCAAGCCGGCCAGTGCCCCCTGCACCAAATTGCATCCTTTCCCAGGTAAGTGTATTCTCGGCAACCCTGGACTAGGGGCATTGCTTTTAAGGTCACTGACAGTGGGGAATGAGAGGGGCTGTGAAGATGAAACTTGCAGAGTCATGAGCTGCCTGCCTTTCCTCCATTCTGGTAAACACAGGGGCACGTCAGGGGTGAGAGCGCTGCGTGGAGGGAAGTACACTCCCCAGGCAGCCCCTCAACTACGGAGGGTTTCCTCCCTGGCTGTGACAAGCCACTGCCCACCTTCCACCCCAAATCACCTTCTTTCAGTACCTCGTGCTCCTTCTCTCTCCTCTAGGTCTTTGCAAATGCTATGTCTTCTGCTAATACTCTCTTCTTCCCCTTGCATAGCCAGCTCCTGTTCAGCCTCACATCTCTGAATGCCACTGTCCCCAACAAGCCTTCTCTGACCCCCAAACCTGAGTTTGGTGCCCCTGTATATCTCTCATCATAGTACTTCCCCCTCCCCCCAGCTGTACTTGTCAGTATCTTCCACTAGGTGGGAGGTCTTCCTGGGGGGCTGCCATGATGCCTTGCTCCCTGCAAGGGCAGGTCAAGGGGCAAGGCCCCTGGGAGATGGGAGCAGGTCTGGGCTCCAAGCCCCAGCACTGGCATCCCTTGGAAGTGGAGCCACCCTGCCAGCAGCCCAAGCACTCCATGTGTCTGTGTTCTGACGTCTCCAACTGTTCTTCCTGGCAGATGTTCCCGCAATATGGGCACAGATGTTTCCAGGGCAGTGGCCGGGCATGGTGCCTGCCAGGGCTGGCCTGTGTGCTTTGGGTGTGACTCCTCAAGGGGGGCAGAGGACTGTTTTCTTCTCGGGGCCGCTTTTCTTGGGCACCATCCAGAGGGCCAGTGGGGCCCAGGCTGCCCCTAGGACTGTGGGGCTGGCAGAGATCTTGCAGGACCCCCGAGACAGGGGCAGTCTCCTGGTCTCCTGACGGTTTGCAGCTGTTACTCTCCTGTTTTCCTCTTCTGGGCCAGGGGTGGCATGGAGGAGATCCATGCAGAAAGGGAAAGCCTGATGGAGAGGGGAGAGGGAGGGAGAAGAGAAGAGAGAAGAGAGCAAGAGGAGCCGAGAGAAGAACTGGGGAGGGGGCATTGGCCTGCTCAGGCGGCCCTAACAAAGGACTGCAGGTGGGGGGCTCAAACAACAGAAATTTGTTTTCTCACAGTTCTGGAGACTGGAAGTCCAAGGTGAACTTGTCAGTAGGGATGTTTTCTTCTGAGGCCTACCTCCTTGGCTTGCAGGTGGCCACCGTCTCCCATGTCCCACGTGGTCTTCCTTTGTGCGTGTGCCCTGATGCCTCCCTGTGTGTCCAAATTTACTCTTTGAGTAAGGGCACCAGCCACCAGTGGATCAGGGCCCACCCTAACAGCCTCATTTTAACTTAATTAATTCTTTAAAGGCCCCATCTCCAAATATAGTCACATTCTGAGGTACTGGGCATTAGGGCTGCAATATATGATTTTGGGGTACACAGTTCGGCCTACAGTGGAGGGAGTGGAGGGATAGGGGACAAGAGGGATAAAGCAACTGCATGGAGACATGTGGGTAAAGGGAGAACAGAGGAGGGTGGGGGGAGCAGGCCATGCAGGCCATTGTTCCTAGAAGCCCACACAGAGGTTTGTTCAGTGGAGATGGGGCCAGCCTTACCCCAAGGTCCTGAGCAGTACACTGGGGAGCACCAGGGACAGTAGAATTCAGCTTGGGGGAAAAACCTGGGAGGCTTCATATCCTGCCCGGATTCTTCCTTTCCCTGGTGGCTGCTGGCAGGGGTCCAGAGCACAGAAGTCTGCCCAGCCAGTAGCGGGTATCCTGAGACAGAAATCTCAAGCATGGCTTCTGCTGGGCATCTGGGCCCAGACAGGTTTCTCCAAGGTCAGGCAGTGGGAGGCAGTTGCAGGACAAGTCTGGAGAGACTCGTCACTTCCATGCTAAGGACCATTCCAGGAAGTGAGTTATTGCTACTATCTGTTTCTCCTGGGGAGTAGCCAAGTCTCACAGAGTTGAAAAGACTAACCTGAGATCCCAGTTTGTAAGTGAAGGAGCCAGGATTTGAACTCAGATCTGACTCCAAACCCTTCACCACCTGGTGGCTGAGGCCCTGAGGTCCCTAGCTGAGTAAGACATCACCTGTCCTGGGGACAATCACACTCTCCAGATCTCAGCTCCACTACCTTCTTGCTGGGTGACGTGGCCCACCCTGGAGAGGTGATGGGTGAAGTTTTGCAACCTCTTCTGTTCTCTCTGAAAATTTATAGAAGCTTCTACTCTGTACTAGGCAGTGTGGAGCAAAACAGATGCTGTCTTTGCCTCACAGAGCTCAGATTCTGCTGGGGAGACAATCAAATGCATGTACTTACAATGGTAATCAGTGCTGTGAAGGAGAGGTTCATGGTGCCCAGAAAGAGAATTATAGGGGGAATTGTTAATAAATTTAATTTTCAATTAAATTAAATAAATTTGTTTTAAAAAAATGAAAGGCTCCTCTAGCAGTGTGATGGGAGGGGGATGAGACTGGGCACACACTGGTTAGAAGGTTTAAGTGGTCTCTAAAAGAGACATGATGGAGGCTGGGAGCAGGGGGTGGTGGGGGTGATAGAGTGAAGCTGGTAAGAAATGTGTAGAAGAGGTAACAGACGGGATTTGGCGGGTGGCAGGGAACGACCACCTACCCAGTGTCTGGTGTGTGCAGCCTTACTGATGGAGATGCCGCTCCCTGAGGGAGGGAGCGGTGGCCGGAGTGGTTCAGGGACTGTTTCTGCCCTGGAAAACTGTCTGGGTGGGCCTCCAGTAGACCTGAGCTGGGTCATAGCAGATGTGGCCTGAGGCAGGGTGCTGCTCTGGGACACCCGGAGTTGCATGCAGATAACTCTCCTTCCCAGATTAACACCCTTCCCGTCCCCTGCACCGCCCTGGGTGACCCCACCTGGGTCACTCATTGTACGCAGCAAGCAGCCAAGGGAGCAGAGCATTTCCCCACGTCAGCCTGGCATCTGCTCCCAGCTGTTGCCTCCCCCAGAAGGTCTCTGTCCTGGCCTTCAACAGCCTCTGCAACTGAGCAGCTGTCTGGGCTGGAAGGGTAAGGAATCACATTGACCTTCAGGGAAGGGATGGATCTGGAAAACATGGCTTTTTGGTCACAAGAATCTGCTGCTCTTTCATTCTCTGAACCTTATTTTCTGCTCTGTTTTCTGCTGGTTGAGAAGCTTCTGTGAGAAAATCTCAGTTCCCTGATTTGCTCTTGCCTCTTAGCATGCTGGCCTTTTGGACATTTTTCTGCTTGTTGGTGACCTTCTCAAGAAGGGGAATAATCAGGGCAGCAGGCACTGGAGCTCCCGCCTGTGGAACTGGCTTCTCTCCTACACCCCACTGGCTTGGGGATTTGTGGGTGGTGGCACAGTCTATTCTTTGCTCCTTAAAACAATTTTTTTTGATCACAGAAGGAATACATGGTTATTTTATGAATTTTTGACTAGCACAGAAATTTATTTATTCAGCTAATATTTGTTGAGGGCTTCCTGTGTACTAGACAGTGTTCTGGAAGTTTGAGCTTTATCATGAACCGAACAGACAAGAAACCTTACCCTTGCTTCTGGTCTAGTGGCAGGTGGAAAGACAGGAAGTAAGAAATGAGTAAATTGTGTAGTATGTTGGAGGGGAATAAGTGATATATACCAAACAAACGAAAAAAAAAGAGAAGTGGATTAGGATAAAAGAGAGGGAATGCTGAGTGCCAGGCAGAGGGGGGTGTTATCATTTTAAATAAGGTGTCTGGGAAGGCTTTATTGAGAAAGTGACAAAACATGAAGGTACAATTTAAAAACACAAAGGAAAGAATCTCTGTTAATTGTGCCATCCATAGACAAGCAATATGAAAAATATGTTTCTTTTTTAATTTTATTTTTATTTACATAGATACTATACACATATGCTCTTGTTAAAAACAAGTTGAGTGTTCATCTGGACAGCCCCTCCCCTCACCCCCACCCCCACCCCAGCCTCTGTTAGAGGTTTGGTCTGCATCCTTCCTGACTTTCTTCTATACATGTGCATCTGGGCAGGGGCCAGACTGGTCATGGTGACCTATTGTATATAAACTGTCCTCTACAACTTGTATTTCAGCTTGCAAGGACTCTTGATCATCTTTCCACCTCAGCGTATATCAACCTAGTTCATTCTTTTTAAATGCTGTGTCACCTATCACTGTATAGTTTTCCTGTTTGTCTCTTGTGGAAATTTTGGGTGTTGATAGTTTCTTTTGCTGTCCCAAATAGTGCTGCAAGGAGCACCCTCATAATTTCATTTCTGTGCACCTGTGCAAATAGTTCTCTAACGTGAGCAATAGGAAGTAGAATTATTAGATCAGAGAATGGCTACTTCTCATTTCAACACATGCTGCCAGCTTGCTCTCTAAAAAGGCTTCTTCCTGAGCATGTGAACACACGCACAAAATTTCTTTTCAGATGGAACCACATGGTATATCCCTTCTCTCACGTGATTTTGATCTGTAATATATTGAGAACACTTTCTAACGGGTCCCCTCTGGCCTTTGAGTGAGGCTTGTGGCTTTCTCCCCAGGACTTCTCCAGGCCTCGGCCACCCCAGAAAGCACTCCCAGCCAACCCAGTGCCAGGCCGCAAGAGCCTCCCCAGGCCAAGGGGCCCCCCCATACTGTGGCCTCCTGCTGCTGGTGCTCAGGAGTCCCGGCCTCTGGTATCATCTGCCCCAAAGGTGAGTCTGAAGAAGCCCTCAAGGTAGAAGCTGGGGCCTGAAGGGCCCAGGGAACAAGAATGTGGTTGAGCAAACAAACCAGTTCATGCTTCTGATTGTAGGGCTGAACTTCAAAAGCTAAGGACAAAAGCTTAGCATTTCTTGGTGCCTGCTTGACAATTCCTTAAAGTGGTGTTAGGGGTTTTCTGTTTCATGTGAAAGGCAATGTTTAGGAACCTGGTGCCTTCAAACTTGCACCTGAAACCCACCAGCTAAATGGCTCAGGGAAAGTCATTCTCTTGAGTCTCAAAGTTTCCTTCTCTGCAAAGAGGTAATAAGAAGCAGGAGTGGCCAACCATAAGGCTGCCATCAAGGTCAAGGCAATTAATTTATATAAACTGCTGGCCGGAGGTAGGCTGTGCACAAATGGCTCCTCTTATTGCCTCTCTCCTGGGCTGATGTATTCCCAGGCTGCCAGTCCTGGGTGTTGGGGCATTCCCAGGGTGGAGGGAGGCTGATGGCCACATCGTCCCGCAAGGCCCTGGGTTATCTGTGGACTGAGCTGCAGCTTCCGGGAGGCGGGAGGAGAGAGGAGAGAGGATGGCTCATCAGCTCGGGGTGGGGGCACCGCCATGTAGGGTTGATGGTCTGGACAAGCAGACATGTCCACAGACTTCTATGGGAAACCATTCTTTTTCAAAGACAGACAGGTCTATCCTTCAGACTGGTCAAACACAAGAGGCCAGCTCTCCATTGATCCCACTGATCACAATTTAGCTGATGTCTCTCTCCTTCTCATCGCTTTCTTTTCAGTTTCCTGAATACAGATCACAGAGGGCTGAGGGGATGACTAGCTCAAAAATCTGAACTCATCCAAAAGGCTTCTCCCTTTCCTTGAGGACTCTGGGTACCACAGAGGACCCGTGGCCACAGAATGTGGAAGAAGCATGTCCGACCTCCTCTTCCCTGCCTCATCCGCTCCCGTAACCACCACATCTCTGAAAATCTCCTTGGCTCAGTGCCTCCTTGGCTTCCTCGGATGCCCAGAGGGACAATATCCAATGGCATTGAAGTGTTGTTTTGTGCAATATACAGCTCCAGGTGGGGAGGGGAGAGTGTGGAAGAGGATGAATGACAGCTAGTCCTCCATCCTCCCTTAGCTGGCCTGTCACCTCAGAGCTGCCAGTGGAGATGTGCCAGGCAGTCTGAGCTGGTGAGCCTGACCTGGGAAACATCCCGTTTAGCCCTTCAGGACAAGACTTAACTTGGAGGAGCCATCCATGCACGTCCTGGGGTGGATGCATGAGAGCTTTCCATTGCTTCTTTCTCTTTGAAGGTCCCAGGTTAGACAGAGGCCGGGCACTTCCCCATCCCTTTTAGCTCTTAGATTGTGAGGGGTCAAACCAGCTGTGGCTGTGGCCCTGCCCGGGGATTGGTTGAGGTCACAGGTCCTAGTTCTGTGGCCACTTGTGAACAAGTCAAGTCTCTTCCTCATCCTCCCAAAGCCTCTGCATGCCTTTATTCACATGGGTCACTCTGACTCAGACAGGTACTATTTGTGGGCAGTGTAGACAGCAGGGGGAGCACCAGGCATGGGCCTCCTCTGAGCCAATGCCAAAGGTCGCCACGTGACTGGCAATAGTTCTTGGTTGCCCTTTCTTTTCTCTGCTGCATCTTCCAAGTGTCCCATGCATTTGATTTCTCCTTCCTCACTCAGACCCAGACCCACCAAGTGTGTGGTGCTGTGGTGAGTGGATCCTCCGCAGTCCCGGGACCTGGTGCCTGTGACCTGCAAGTCAGGATCCTGCCTCGAGGGTCGGCCACTGGATTTCCTAGTTGGTTCTCAAGAGTGTTGACCAGAGTGGACTTGGGCCATGGCTGTGGAGGGCAAAGCTTTATTTTCCATTGTGTTTTGTGACCTCAGCAGGGTGAGGGTTTTCCACCCTAGTCCCTGCCCTAATTCTAAATATGGGTGCAGTGAAGGGAGCAGACATCCTGGGAACCCCAGCCTGTCCTTAGGTCTGGCCGCTGACTGAGGCAGGATCAGGACCCTCTGAGCAGAGAGCAGGCCCTGTCTCCAGACCCCAGAGGAGCGGCTGTCAGGAGCCTGGGTGGAACAGAGTCTGTGGGGCCACCAGGCTTTCACTCATTTGCCCCCTTGTGTTCCACCCTCTGGTTGCTGCCCTTCCCTCCTGACTTACAGAAAGAAGTTGGAGGCTACTCCAATGAGGCCTGCCCTCCCCTGAGCAGGGAAGGAGGGCTGTGTGGTGCTCTGCTAAATTGGATGACATGTCCCTGGAGAGCTGCTCTGGTGACTGTCCCCACCCCCAGAAGGGTGCTGTGCAGCGGGGTCTCCCCACCTGCAGGGAGCCATTGTTTGCTCCTGAAAACCTCAGTGCGAGCAAGAAGCTTGAGCTTTCTCCCCCATCCACCTCCGGAGGGCCCCTTAGAGTTCTCTGCACACAATAGGTGCTCCATGTTCTTGGGCTTGCACACAAGTGGGAGATGTGGGATATGCACCTGGGGACATGCATGGGCTGGATTTAGGAAAGATCTCAGGAAAAGGAGGTTCTCTTCACTCAGGTAGCTGTGATATTCACACGCATCTCCCTGTCAAGGGCCTGGTCGCCCCCCATAGCCAGTCTCCATCTTCCTTGCTAACTGATTAAGTCAGGAGACAGCCTCCCATTTAAGCGTGCTACTCCAAATGCCCCATGTCTTCAGGCTGGACCCCAGAAAAGCAAAGGTGAAAACACCCCTGCAAAAAAAAACCCAAAAACCAGACCTGTAAACCCCATCCCGTGCCTCACAGACATTCCTGTGGCCTGTGCAGCTTTTCTCGCCTAGATCAGGAGGTAGAAGGCTCTGAAGTGAAAATGTCACAGCTGCTGTGGCTGCATGAGCCTTTTGAACCTGAAATCCACCCTCCCACTCCAGAAAGACACCTGTGTGTTTGATTTATTTTTCTGTTTCTGTTTTTGTTTTCCATTATTTTAATACCACCTCTATCCCATAAAACTGTACTGTGAACTGGAAGATGGTCGGGTTTTTTAAATTTGATAGAGACTTTGGGCAGCCGGTTCTATTTACTGTTTCACTCCTGGCTGTGTTCAGGGGGCCGGGAGTCGCCATTTCAGAGGCCCTAGAGGCTGCCCAGGAGCAGGACCGGCCAGCACGTGCCCCCTTTACCCTCCTGTGCCCATGTGCTGCTTTGAGGTGACAAAAACACATACAGACTTAAGGAAGGAGGGACTTTATTCAACAGGATTACTGCAAGATGGGGAACAGATGTACTGCAATGGGGCAGTGGGCAATTTGTAATAGGGAGAATACTGCAGCATCTGTGAGCCTCTCACAGCTCAGAAAAATGGGGCTTTCCTGTTCTAGGAAGATGTGAGCTTGACTAGAAAGAACCGCTTTCAGGGACTGTCTTTGTGCTCAGTTATTGGTTGGGGCAGGGGTCTCCTACAGAGCAGCTATATGCAGCTATTGCGAAGGGTGGGCCCCAGTTCAGAGTGGTGGGGAGGAGAGAGAGCTTGGGGGAGTGAGTTAGACAACCTTTGTTCAGATGGAGACACAGAAATCTTTTAAAGAGTGAATTAGCCTCTTGCCAGTTTTACAACCCTGGAAATATTTTTCTTAAGAGCCTGGGAACCATCTCTGAAATGCAAATCTTAAGGAACCTCAAGGGAGCTAGCACCCCTATCTCCTTGTCTCGGTGGGAGTATGAGTTCAGGCACCCACCTCTAAGTAATGTAACTACTTGCTTGCCACAGGTTCTTTTTAGCCTTGTTTAATTCTCCCTATATAAAAAAAACCCCGCCCCTTTCTGCTCCAGCTCTGAGATGCTTGCAGATCCTAGAGTATCTCATTGCAGGTCTTACGGTATTGCAATAGCTCCTTGCCATCTCACAAGAATCCTTTTGAGTAAAGCCTCACTCTACCTATGTCCAAATTCATCCTTATTTGGCAGAGGGTATGAACCACTTGCATATTTTAAATTGGGGACCAGTTCTGAAGTCAGTGATTCTGTTAAATGTGTGTATAACAGCTCTGCTGGACACCCAAGAAAGTCAAGGGAATGCTGACTGGAAAGGTGCCTCATTCCTAGGGAAGCTCATCTAGAGGGGTTCTGCAGAATCCAAGCCTTGTGCCCCCAAAGTCCCCTTTCCAGGCATCCTCTCATACCATCCACTGTGTGTACGTATGAGTCTGGGATCCAGGGCAATGTGAATTTTCTTATTATTTGGGAGATTGCTCACAGAAAACAGATCCTCTTCTCTCTCATCCACCTATTAATTGTTTACAATATTTGTACATCTATGCAAAATACTTGAATGGGCCATGGTGCCTTTTTTCTTTGTTTGTATTTAATTAAAATAAAGCGTCATTTGAAATGTTGTCTGGTTTGGCAACTTATTTTGTTTTAATGCCCCAGTACTCAGCCCGGATGGGATCCATCACATGAGGACTCCTCAGAAGAGTTCCCACAAACACCATCAGTCCAGCCTGAGGGGCTGAAATGAAAGACCTACAAGCCATGGAAAAGCCCTGGGATTTCCCATGACCAGTCCAGGGGGCTGTTTGTCTTCACACCTGGCCAGAAGTTGGTTAAGCTCAATTAGGTCTTGGGTCACTGAAGGCATGAATGATCCTGGGATTCTCTGATACCTGTCTTCTTTTGCTACACTACTGCCTTTAGGAGACAGCTGAAACTCTCTTTGCTACCTCATCTTATTCCTAGGGATCATGTACTTCAAAGAGGGGACAGCCTTGCCCAAGGTCTGGTGGGCATGGGGGAGTGGGAGAATGGGACTTGGGTGTAGCAGGCGCAAAGGCAGGGCTAGGGTGGGTATGCTATCTGACCCCAGAGCTGGATGCGTGGTAAGAGCTCACACCCATTACTGCCTCCCATTCCACAGAAGGATCCCACCCTTATTCTCTCAGCTGATCCCCACCCCAACCTGGAGGTTCTCTAAAAGAGACAATCAACATAACCCTTACATGAGTTAAGGTTTATGCTAAGGTTATGCACACTGCTCTCTTTGGGTGGATTATCTCATTTAATTTTCACAAAAGCCCTAGGAGGAGATCCTTGATATCTGATTATATGTTTCTAATGTCTCAGGGTTTTAAGATTGCTAAGGATATCAAAGGCATCAAAGAAATGCTTTGAGTACTAAAATGCCTGCTCCTGAAATTAGCCCCCACCCAAACACCCCTGCTTGCTTAACACCATATTCTAAACTAGCCACTGTGTCCACTCTGCCAGTCAGTCTCTGGGTTGGTAGTCCTAGACTGGTGAGTAGCATAATGCACTGAGCCTGGTTGGACACACATGGGTTCAGATCCCAGCTCTGCTGCTTACTAGATGTATGAGAGTAGATAAACTCTAGAACTCAAGAGTCACTTTTTGCTGTACAGGGGGAATACTAACTTCCTTAAAAGCATCATGATCATCAGTGAAGTGCTTTACGTAAAAGCACCCAGCCACGTCTGGCATAGGCTGAGTGCTCAGAAATTGCCATCTGACTACATGCTGGGTTCTATTAAAGTCTGCTCTGGGTTGAGATCTGGACTCCAAGAATCTGGGGAAAGGACTATTTGGAACGGTATTTTTCCTGCATTCAATAAATATTTTTAGGAGTGCCAACTATGTGCTAAGTCCTAAGAAAAAGCAGTAAATAAAGACCATATGACCCTCCTGGGACTTATATCCAGACAGAGGAAGCAATATAAAACAAGAAGAGAAATGAACAGAGTAGTATCAGCATGCAGTCGGGGGCCAGTTTAGTCTTTTGGAGAGACACTGTGCCTGGACGTTAAGACTATAGGGTCAGAGCCAGATACCAACTTTCTTCCTGGCTGTGTACCTTGGGCAATTACTAACCTCCCTGAGACCTTCTTCTCATACACAAAATGGGGATAAAAATTTGTCTACCTTAGGAATTGTGAGGACTTAAAGAGAGAATTCACATGAAGCTCTTTGCACTGTGCCTGGCTCCTAGTAAGGACTCAAGCATTAACAAGGGATCAGTGCCTTTTAATGACTATTAGAGTCTATAGTAATCAAGACTCTGTTATTCTAGATGGAGTAGTATTCCCCAAAGAGCCTTCCCACTCTATGGAGGATGTGGCTCTGGAAGACTATGTGGCTACTGCCACGACTTCCCTGGCAGCCATGACCCTCTGGAGGTCAGGGATCAGCCTCCCTAGTGTCACTGCTCCATGCCCGAAGAAGGCCAAGACACAAGTATCAAGTAAACATACTCATAGCTCTTTATTCTTGACCCTGCAGATAGCACTCTCAGGGGCCTCAGATTACTGCCGTTCTCAAGATCCAATGTGTTGCACTGATTTGGGTTATAGACAGACACCCACATTCATTAAACACTGGAGGGCTGGAGGTGCAGGAAGCCAGTCTGTTCATCAGTTGGCCTTTGGAGATACAAGACCAACATGAGTGGAGCATGGGATATAAACACAGAGCGTAAGTATGGAGTTATACAGGGGAGGCTCTGTACCAACTTGGACGCTGAGGATCAAGCCTTCCCTCTTTATAGAAATACTGACTCTCTCGCTTCCCTTTAAATGATCCTTGTACCAACTCACACTCTTGGAGCCAGAAAGACAGGAAGAGAAGGGATATCAGTTATCTCTCTCTCCAGCTGCTCTTGTGTTTTGAATGCCTCTGGCCAAATGTGAGGGGACCAAAGGCAGTCCCCAAAGCAGGTGGTGCCATGACACACTGCTGCCCAAGCTGGACAGCTCATCAGAGGAGGTGGAGACTTGATGGCAATCTGATCAACAGCCAAATGCACCTTGGGCTAAGCCTGCACCCCACTTGGTTACTGAAGTTCAAAGCTGATCCCACTGGCCAAGCCTCTGTGGCTGTAGCCCAGAAACTACCCAGAGCCGCTTTTGCCTGAATCTTTGGTTGAGCACCAGAGTAAACCCAAAAGGTAGCCCCTGGTTCCCAGAGAGCCTGTGGCTGCTTCCGCCAGATCCTGGCTTTGCTCCTCACTCTCCCCAAATCAAATATTGGTTTACTCCTTGAGGAAAAGTGCATTTTGCCAAATTCTAGCTCAACAGCCAGGCTGCTTTTAAGAGCAAAACAACTGCTGTTCTCTTCTAAGAGTGAGGCAAAATGACTCTGCTTCTGGCCAGCCGAGCTTGGCTGTGAAGCACCTTGTGCTGTCGCTGTTGGTTCTGTTTGGCATTCTAAGACAGGTGCCTGAGTGCCTCCGTGATGGACCCCTCAGGATTATAGCAGGAAGGGGTGGGCACGGGGGTGCAGTAGGTGGAGACAAAGATGCTGCCCTCCGGGCCACAGTGCTCCGGGAATGGGGCCAGCGGAAACGTTTCCCTGAGACATCAGGTGGCTCTCCGGGGATGGTCAGCGGAGGTCTCGCTTTGTCTCTGGAGGGCCAGCGACAAAGGCAGCAGGGCATTTTACGTCAGTTGCCGCAGTCAGCTCTGGCTGAGGACGCAAGGCGGATTGCTCTCTGGGTCTCTGGGGGCCAGCTGCAGGGCCCCTCTGGCTAAGAACTGCCATTCAGTCTCTGAAAGAACTAGTGCTAAGGATTTCCTGGTGACCAACATCTCAGGGAAGTTCTTGGCCTGTGCTACATTCAACAAGTCAAATTCTGTTCTCTTCCCAACCACACGGAGAGGGCACAGAGCAAATAAGTGGGAAGGAGGCCCAGGGGACCTGCTGGCACCAAGGTGAAGTAGGGTATTTGGTCAATGAGGCTGTGTTTCCAGGAAGTTCTGCCACCACCGCTCTCTGGGTAGCAATCTTTCTCCTGGAAACACGGATGAGGTATAAGTGAACGTCTTGAGAAAAGAGAGCCCCCTGGTAACAGTTGTGCTGAAATGATAAGTGACTGAAATTGAAGAGTCAGGCTGTACCACAGAACTCATCTTCTCACTTAGGTAGTCCAAGCTTTAAGAATGGATTATAAATACTCTGGGCTTCTCTTCTGGTGATGGGGTGCTGGAGAGTTCTATGTTGTCCACAAGGACATTTTTGTCTTCTAGTCGAATGACAGTGGGCTCGGGGGTGGGAGATGGGGCTGGGTTTTTGTGCATGTGGGGCAGGCTGGTCCAGCTGATGTCCAGGTCTTTGAAAGCATGAAGCATGAACACACCCAGGATGACAGTGACAAAGCCAGAAAGGGTGCCCATAATGTCCACGGCAGACATGCTGTACCACTCCTTGAAGAGGATGACGGAGGAAGTAACCACCGTGGTGGTGAAGAACACGTAGTAGATGGGGAACACCAGGGAGGTGTTAAAAATGTCCAGTGCCCTGTTGAGGAAGTTGACCTGGGTGCTGAGTGAAAGTGCCAGGATGAGGGACAGGATGTAGGGGAGGGGGTGCCTCACAACGGGCATCCCCTGGAAGAAGTTCTTAATGGTGATGCCCATACCCTTGACAGCAGACACAGAGAAGGACCCAATCACTGAGCAGATGGTGATGTAAACGAGGATATTCCTCTGTCCATAACGTGGGGCAATGATGAAGATGAGGATGAGGCAGAGCACCAGCAGAAGCACAGAAAACACGATGTACCCTTCGGAGAGGAAGGAGATAGATAACATGAGCTGCAGAGGATGCAGTTAGCACCTAGAGCCCCTTGCCCACAGCAGTGAGATGCAGCTTTAAGAACTTGGGCTCCAGAGTCAGGCAAACATGGGTTCCAGTCCCATTGTCACAACTTTCTAATAATCTGGGTAAGTTATTCACTAAATTCCCAGATCTCTGTTTGCTCATTTATAAAACGGGGATAATAAGAGGACCTGCCTCCTAGAGCTTTTTTTGGTGGGATTAAATGAGATAATACATGCTATAAGACTGAACGTGTCCCTTCAAGTTCAAATGCTGAAACCTAACCCCCAGTGTGATGGTATTAGGAGGCAGGGCCTTTGGGAGGTGATCAGTCACAAGAGTGGAGCCCCCACGAGTGGGGTTGGTGCTCTAATTAAAGAGGCCCCCCTCGCCTCTTCCCCCATGTGAAGACAGCAAGAAGACGGCCGCCTGTGAACCAGACCTGCTGGGGCGCCCCTGCATGGACTTACCTGCCTCTAGAATAAATTTCTGTTGTTTATAAGCCACCCAGTCCATATATTCTGTTACAGTAGCCTGAACATACTATATAATGCATATAAAATATTTAGAACAGTGCCTGGCACATAAATGCTTAATAAATGGAATCAATATACATGGGGCAGGGAAGCCTGTAAACTAACCTTGGGATCAGCCCACCGACTTTCTTCAGCCTGCCTTGCCCTGCGAGGCGCCGCACCTGAGACAGTGCCCAGGCAGCCCTCCCCAGGGTGCTCCTGTTGCACCGGGCTTGGGACCCACCTGTGTCTTTCATCTTGGCAGCCATCGCAGTGACAGTGGTGACCTTCTCTTCCTCGGGGGCATGTATCACCATCACGGTGCTGCCGGCCACACAGATGATACAGCCCAGCTTTCCCAGCAGATTCAGAGTCTCTCCCAGGAAGTACGAGGAGAGGATGGCACTGCACATGAACATGGGAGAGGAGGATTAGCCGCCACGCCTGTGCCCGCGTCCTTCAGGGAAATGGCTTCTAAGCAAGCGTTCATGAATGGCAGGTCAGGACCCACTACTCTCACATGGAAGCTTTTCTAGACCCCCAAAACCTCTGAAGTCACTTATTTATTGGGGGGAGGGTTACAGTATGTGCTGGAGGAATAGACCTACATGTGGATTTTTTTCATTTTAGACACTTAAAGTTTCCCAAAACAGAAGAGTTGGAAGAGCCCTTCAGGGCACTCTGGTCTAATGTTCTACCCAATGAGGACATCTTCTATTCACACTGCAAACATATGGCTTTTAGCCTTGGTTTGTATACCTCTGGTGGCAAGCAGCTCACCCCTTCATATGGCAAATGAATACATTATAAGGTTCATACTAATTATTCACCAAAAATATGGTAATTTCTACTCATTGTCCCATTTCTATCTATTGAGCCCTACAGAACAAATCTATTCCTTCTTCCATTTGTATATGCCAATATAAACAGCCACAATGACAATTATAGGCCCTGTGTCTTGGGCAATATTGCATACTAGGTCTTACATTAGGAACTTTCCATTTATTATCTCACTAACATCTCACAACTCTGAGAAGACCTATTATCTTAATTTACTAATGGGAAAACTGAGTGTCAGAGACATTAAAATGACATGGCAAGGTCATAAGACTAGTAAGTAGCAGAGCCAGGATTTGAGCTCACCTCTGTCTAATTACAAAGCCAGTGGGTTTTCTTCTATACCTCACTGAAGAGAATTCCCGTGACTTCCCTGAGCCATCTCTTTTCTGGACCAAACAGCTCCAGGGCCTTGCTGGGCCTTGATGAGGTGCTTTTCATTCCCCTCATGTCCTCTAGATGAGCCAGCCGAGGTGAGGGACAAAGGGAGGGAAAGTGGGCAAAACAGGCATGGTCACTGGAGCATGCTTCTGTTTCTTTGCAAAGGTAGCATTAGTTTAGGGCGCATGCTTTTTTAACTTCTCTGCTTCCCTTATCAGGGGCCAGAACACTGACTTGAGATGTGCAGCCTGGTGGCACTGGAAGTCCTTCCAACTAGTCTGGGCTTGGCCTGCCTCTCCATTGCTGGGTCAATTGAGCAGATGCTACAGCGACCAGCAGCAAACAACCCAAGGGTCTAGAGCACACTGCCTCCTTCTGGAAGCTGGGAATGACTCAGGTCCCTGAATCCAAGTGGCAGTTGGCCCCACTTAGCAGCTCCAGACCACAAAAACCTGAAAATGAGCAAGAGCCAGAGGTGACAGCTACCTGATGAGGATGCTCAGTGCTCCCAGGGGTGTGACGACTGTCGCAGGAGCAAACGCGTAGGCCCCGAAGTTGGCAACTTCTCCAGCAGCCACTAGGAAATTAAGGGAGACAAAAGGCTTGTGTTGCTCCAGTGCACCTTTCCAGCCCAAATGAATCCGGGTAGGGACGGCTTCATTCAGTGTTCAGCCATTCACAGAATCCCAGACCCGCATTCCTTAAAACCCTGATTCTTATGCTCTCTCCCGGGAGAATCTGACCAGAAGGTCAGGCCCAGGCTCTCCAGATCAAATCCTTCCATTTTAAAGATGGGGAAGCTCATCCCAGAGCCCCAGGTTACCTGACATATTTTGGGTAGACACCCTGTTGTCCCTGGTCTCGGCTTCCCTTCTAGCCCAGGCATGGTTAAGTGTATCTCAGGGACTGCCCCTGTTTGCTCTGTATTCTTAAGAAAGTGTTAATTACAAATAAGGAACAGTTACAGTTACGGATGCTCCAGGTACAACTGGTCCCTGGAGCCATCTTTCCCAGGCAACTGTGGATAGCATAGTCTGACAGGCAGGTGGTTAGAAAGTCCGACATTTCCAAAGGGCCTAATTCTCTCCATTTGCATTTCCAGTTTGCAGGCTCCTGAGAGTGCCTTCGCTGTCTCTTTGCTGGTAGAGAATGACCTGGGTCTGCCCTTTGAAAGCAGATGCTGAATGTGATCGCTCTAGCTAAGACTGGGATCAAAACCTGACTTAGGGGACTATAAATGGAAAGCTGGCTAATTTTCCGTCCAAAAGAATTAGGGTTTGAAAGCCAGAGAGGGTGAGTGGAAAGTGGGGGAAATGTGTCAATGTGAGAGTGAGACAACAAATTGCCTGAAGAATGGGAAAACTGGCTTGGAGTCCCAGCCTCTACCATGTAGATGTTCAAGAGACTCCAACAGGTTGTGATCATCTCCCTGTGTTTCCAAGGCAGTTGAGAAATTACACGCTTATCATTACCAGCTCTGTACAAACCTCTCTGAGGATAGATGCTTCATGGATGAAAGGCTGACTTTGGGTTTAGGAAGCGATATGAGATACAGGTAAGATATTCTATCTGAAAAGACTGTCAAGCTTTTCCCCTCAGGAATCTAGCCTTCAGATCCATACTTTATACAACAGAGATAGAAATGCCCCATCCACCCCTCCTTTTGTCTCTGCCTCTGCCATCAGTAGGTCATGGTTAGTAGCAAAGAACCCACTTACTGGTGAGAAATCCAGCCCACCACATTGCATCCTTCAGGTAGCCATATCCTCCCTCTACTGGAAAAAGGAATAGACACAAAGTTAGAGTTGGGCCACACTTTTCAGGCACCTTTCCCATCTCTACCTTCAAGCCCCAGTATCTGAGGGTTCAGTATATGTGAGCTGTGGTTAGCCCTCCAGGCTTGCTTCTGAGCCCTTTCCTAGGTGAGTTCATCATTCCCAAAGTTTTAGACTGCATTTAAACGCTGGTGTCCTTAGTTCATATATGTACTCTGATTTTTTCTTCAGAGCCCAGATGTAGATCCAGCTGCTCACTGACATCTCTTGGCTCTCTCCCAAACTCTGTCCTAAATGGAACTCTTGATTTTAAATGCTCCCCACCTACTCACCAAATGAAACTCAGTGAATGGCACCTCTACGTACCTGGTTGCTTAAGCTAGAAGCCAGAAATCACCCCTGACCCTCCCACTCCACCCTCTGCATTCAGTTCATCCTGGTGGTTCCATCTCCAAAAACCATCTCACACGTGTCCACTCCACTGGCCACCACCCAACGCCAGGGCATTATGCCTCTGGCCTGGGTTTTGGCAACAGTCACCTAGGGTTCCCACGGTTCTACTCTAGTCATCCCTTTACAATCCATTTCTTTCAGAGCAGCCAGTGCTCTTTAAAGAATGTAAATCAGGTTATGTTACTCTTTAGTTCATAGCTGGCCAATGGCTTCTAAATACTCTTACAGTAAAAACCAGAATCCTTAACGAGCCTGTTCATAGTTTTGACCCTGCTTACATCTCTAGAGGTATCTTCTGATGCTCTACTTACTATAACCTAGCCGCTCAGCCTTTTTCCTAATTCTTCAAAAATGCTGAGCTCCTGTTGGCCTTAACGCCTTTGCATGTGCTTTTCCAGGTCTGGAATAGTCTTCCAATAACATGTGCCTAAATCTACACTCACTCTACAGGTCTCTGCTTGAATGTTGCTTCCCCGAGATGCTCCCCCCAACCTCCTTATTGATATTATTTCCATTTGGGATTCTCCTTTATCACAACCAGCTCTCTTTCATGATAACTTATCATTTATAATGTAAATTGATCTATTTACTTTCTGGCATTTCTCCCACTAAAATGGAAGCTCCGTGAAGCCAAGAATTGTCTCTGCTTTGTTCACATGGTAAACTCAGAGACTGGCACATAGTTATATTATACTCAATACTAGCTCTGAGCATGAGGATAATTGATGGGTTTTAGACAGTTCCAAAGACTGTGAATATCTATTTTCCTAAATAGACATCAGGTTTCTAAAGGAGTCAGAATCTCCCACAAAAGTTAAGAGCTCTGAGAGCATTTTACTCTAAGGATAAATGCTTCATGGATGAAAGGCTGATTTTCAGAAGATACTGAAAGAGCAGATTGGGAGGAAAAAATTGATTCCAGGGAAGTTGCCTTTCTGAATGATAAATACTACTTGCCCTGCTCTCTCCTCAGTGCAAGCAGATCTTTTTCTGACACTTCAGGAGGTCTCTGGCCTTTCGAATACCTGTCCAGAAGTGAGGGGTAGAACAGTAAGACCCTTGCTCCTGACTCCATTCCTGCACCTCAGAGCTCTCCTTGCAGAGAGCACCTAGAGCTGGGGATCCAACTGTGTGCTGGGCCCGTCACTGAGACAGCACGGATACCAGTGCTAGTATCTGGTGCCAAGCAGCTCCTAAACATGCTACTAATAGTCACAACAGTCAGAGAGGCTGGAACTGTTCTTACCTCTGCTTTTAGATGAGGAAACTGAGACACAGAAAAAGTACTTTTCGTGCCCAGGAGCACATCAGCGGGAAGTGAAGAGCTGGAATTGCAACCCCAATGGTCTGCTTCCAAAGTTCAGTGTCTCACAGAACATTACATTTAACATGTCCAAACCTGAACACAGCATCAGCCCATAAACCTGCTCCTCCTACATTCTTCACCTCAGAAAACAGCACCCCATCTCCCTAGTTGCTCAAGTCAGAAAGCTGAGTCATCTTTGACTCTGTTTTTTACCCTCCTCTTGGAGCCAGTCAACATCAAACCCATGTACCTATGAAACACTGACCTTCAAAAACTATCTCCGGACCCCACTGCTAGTCTCCACATCTACCACAATTTCCCAGGCCAACTTCTGTTGTCTGTCCCCTAGTTGGTCTCCCAGCCTCCAGGCTTGTCTCCTAATCCATTCCCCACCCAGCCCCCAAGGATCTTGTCCAATTATAAATCGAACTATGTAACTCCCCTGCCTAATAATACCCACATCATTTGTAATTGCATTCAAACTGCAGCCCAGTGTATAAGACCCTTCATGATCTAGCCCTTCCCCTCCATGCCCCAGACATCCTGAACTGCTTTCAGGAGTTCATGCTACTCATGCTCACTCATCTCTGAGCCTTTGCGTGTGCTGTTCTCTCTGCCTGGAAGATGACATCTTCCTTTTTCCCCTTCCCCTTGCTATCTCCACATCATTTAGGTCCCAGCCTCCAGGTTACCTCTTACAGAAAACCTCTCCTAAGCCCCCAAGCCTGGGATTTATATCCCCCTCCAACATATTCCCATAGCATTCTGCATTTTCCCCATGGTAGCCCTTAACACACTGGAACAAACTGCTGATGACGTGCCTGTGTCTCCCATTGACTCGGTGCACAGGGCACTGTGCCTCCATGTCTAGCATGGTACCCGGCACACAGAGGTATTCAATGACTGCTGATTAGATGAATGAATTCTTTTGCACATGATTCCTTTTCTCAAGAATGGTTTCATGCATATATACCTTATTTTTCAAACACACAAATCCCTTGTGGACAGAGACTCAGTAATTCTTTTGTAGCCCCTTAAGGGAGTTCATTCTGATAGTAAATGAGGGCACACTAGTTTCTGACACCATCCAGGGCAGAGGTATCTGTGTCCCCATTTTGCAGGGAAGTTGTGACTTGCCTATGATGACACAACTGGTAAGAAATAAAGTCAGGACTAGACCTGGGGTTTCTGATTCTTGATGCTGAGACTTTTCTCAGTCTTCACCCCAGCTAACTTATCTGAAGTTCTCGGTTAATACTGGATCATAAAGGATAGGCTCCTGTTGGTGGATTGGAGTTCCAGGGAGGTTGACAAGGAGCCTTTTGTGCCCATCACGGCCAGGCTCCCACACTGCAGCAGCAGCCCCAGTGAAGGGCAGTTCCCAGGGTGGCTGAGGGCTCGGCTCCCGGCACCCACTCCCTGCCACCCCCCAGGAGCCTACCAGCCCGTGTGGCCCCTGAGGCCACCAGTCGCAGAAGGCCTTTCTTCTTGAGGATGACACTGCTGCCGATGAGGAGGCTTGACAAGAAGGCCAGGCCTAGGCCGACATAGAAGCTGTAGTTCTGCCTGAACCTTTCCTGCCAGCTGCTAGAGGTGACATTGCCTGGCACCTCAGGGCTGAGGCCCCCGACGATCTGGCACAGGACTTGTTGGGAGGAGCAATACAGGCTGATCACGGAACCTGGATTGGAAGACCATGGTGAGAGAGTCATGCTGGAGACATTTACACGTATTAAAAACTTGGGAATTGGCCACTATTTTAGACCCCATGCTTTGGCTATTATGGAGCTCCACCCACACACTGGGCCCCAACCAACAAATAACAGTTTAATGTTCACTGAGTGGTAACTGTGGACAAGGGCTCTTATTTCTAAACTCATCATATTTCTACAACAACCTGTCAGAAAACTGTTGTCTTTCATTTCCATTTCATAGATGTGGAAATGGAGACTGTGCGAGGTCAGGCACCTGGCCTATAAACACAGACTGTCTAACTCGAGCCCTCCAGCACATAACCATGAAGCTGGATGCCCCCCCAACACACACACACTAAGCAGGGTCCCCCAAGCTCTCAGGCCTCTTCAGTGCCCTCAGGAAGGGAAAGATTTGGTTGGGTCTCACAAAAACCTGGTGTAGAGCTTGGCCTGGAACCGCCAGGGAACAGCCCTGTGTCTTTTGCGCTGAGAGATCTCTGACGCCTGTGTCACAATCAAAAGAAGATGACGCAAGAAGCCAACTCAGCCCCTAGTAAAATTGTTCTGACAGCACACTCCTGTTCCTCAGCTTGGGCAAGAATCGAGTCTGGAGAGGGAGTTCCCTGAGCTCAGGAAATGAGACAGAGCCTGGGAGGATGTGGTCCAAGGAGAGTCACTCCCAAGAGGAACACCTAGCCCATTCCCATGCCCATCACCTGCCCCCCTGAAGGTGTGTCTCTAGCAGGTGGAGCTAAAGGATGGGCTTTGCCCTTTGGGGCAGGCCTGAAACACCCAGGGGGCCCAGCACCTTCCACTGAGTTAAGTCCTCCCCTAGGGGTAAGAAGAAAAAAGTGGAGGTTGAAGGCCAGAGGAAACCCAATTCTGAGGAGAATGCCTCTCTGACAAACAGCTTCTCTTTCAGAATATGCCAGGACTGGAGAACACATTCTTCCCCAGAGGAAGGAGAGGCTGAAAATGGACTGCCTCCTTCGTCAGGAATCCAAAACCAGACGACACCCAATAGGCAGGTTTTGGTCACTGGGGAAGAGAAGTCAGAGAAACAGGGGTGTCTCTCAGGCTGACATTCCAAGGGGAGGGAGGACAATGGGAACAGAACAGAAAGGATTTGAGCACAGCACTGTGAGGAAGGTTTCAGAATCTAAGAGCCCTAGGTTTATATTCCATTTCCCTATTGTAAACCTTGAGCAAATTATCAGACTTTTCAGGGTCTCAGTTTCTCTCTCTAGAATGGAGCCAGGAGTATCTACCTGCCCTGGGGAATGAAGGATTAAATGAGATAGTGCAGTTAGGGCCTGGCCCACCGGCAGGAACACAACATAAAGCCAAGGGTCTTTCCTAGGTCTTTCTTTGCTTCTTTTTATAAAAGATGCCTGTGGGGGTGGGGGCAGTACCTCTGCGCCCCTCTCTCCTGTCTTTCGTGCGCCCCAGGGGGACAGCCATACCTGGGAAGGTACTAAAATCTGAAGCAACTAAATATTCAAAAAATTCCAAAGCCCCGACCTCCCCGCCGACCAGCTCCCGTCAGTGAAGTCCGCCGCCGCCTCCTGCCTCCCGGTACGGCCCCTTCCCTCCCAGCTCCCTG